AGGAGGTTGTCAAGACATTGATGTTTTCTGTAATTGTATTTAAATCTACAGACATCCTAAAACTTTGAATTTTCCCATTTGACTTTCTGCAAGCGCCCCTTGTATTTTTGCTCTTAATTTTAAACTTTTTATATACAAGAAACACAACAATAATTGAAATCACAGGCAAACATCATTAACTTTTGAACATGTCAAATGCTTGAACTTGAAAGCATAAAGTTTATTCTTCAATACATTACAGAGATACATGTCAGCATACAGTCGATTCAGGACACATAGTATCATTAATGTGTGCACATGCCATACAGGTCATCAAAACGTCTGTTCCTAATCTACTGCTATAATTAAAAACACATTTAATACCCCCAGGAGAGAATTATAGTGCCTGCATGTATCCCCAAGTTATTTACATCATAATTATTATCCTAAGAGCTCAATTACTTAAAGAGTTTCAAACTTTCTGTAGACATTATAACCTGTTTTCATTATTCAGCCAAGGCATAAACGCTTTGATGGTTACCATGGTTACGTTTCAATTAGCCTGTTCAATGTCCCTCTAGACACAAGAGAAGAGGACATACAATATACCACTGACCCAAACAAGTCTGCATGTATCTTTGCAATTTGATTCTATTTAGTCTACTGACTGTATAGCTTTATAATTGCAATAGAAATTGACAACAATTATGTAGATAAAGCACTCCCAATAAACGACACTTCAAGCTGTGCAGAGAACACAAAACCATACCAGCAGACTTCTTTAATCATGTAAGTCACCATTAATAATTTTTTATCTCTGTTCTAATCATAAAGGTATTAAGTAAAACAGATGTGTTACTCAAAAGGACTGGGGAATCCATGCCTCACAGACGAGGTTCAGCCTGCAAACCAACAGAACAAAACATCCAGATCAAAATCATTAAACTAGCTCGTAATCACACTGGCAAATATTAGACTTCACAATCAAAGTGGTTACAGCTTAATTGTTTACCCACTATCATGATCTAAAAGGTCACAATGACCCTAGGTTAGTGTGGTTGTTTACCTGGTGGTTACCATGGCGACACATATAGCTTAGTGTACGTTTACTACATATATAATGGCCTCTTAATCATTTACACACACCTTCCTGACAAGTTCTTGAAAGACATAATTAAGTAGTTCCTGTTCCATATGATATGCAGTTTGAGTAGGGGTGTAAAGATTCACAACAGTTTGGTGTCAACTGATGGGAATGAGTGTCCATCTTCCCGAGGCAAGAGAGTCAACTGACAATAAAAGTCCAGTTTCAACCCTTGCCAAACTAGGCAGGAATTATGGAGATATATTTGGGGTGGAATAACAATTCTATTCATAGTCCAATAAAAATCCCATAACGAAATAAAATTCCAGTGCATAAAACTGCCGTGCAGATTTCTGTCGATTGCAGGATTTGCAAAGCATGTGTATCGAAAACTTGGTGTCAACTTTTTGTCACTCTGTGAAGTAAGACCCGTGATATTACAACAAACATCAATTATTTGAAGCAAGTGTAAGTGATATAAGAGGTGGAATCTGATTGGGCAATAGGAGGAACAGAGAAGGGGCATAACTCATAACTCACTGGTGGCGCCACGATTGAACCCAGATTTTCCATCCTAGTTCAGCAAGGGTGGAAACTGGACTTTCACAGTCAGATAACTCCCTTTCCTCAGGACAGGGACAAGTGTCTGACAATCCAGCATTCAAAATTCATGTAATCTGTTAGCCTGAGACGACTAAATTGTGCCAAGGACAAGTCAAATCCATTGATTGTAGTCCTCATTGACCAGTAACCTTTGAGGACTGTAAATGCATCAAGGATGCTACAAATAGGAACAGAATACAACTGACAGAAAGTGTCTTGTTCAAGCAGGAGTAGGTCCAAGCTCTGAGAACTTGTAAAATACTGAGGTTCTTCTATACTCTTCTTAAACAAAACTAATTTCTGAGGCTGTTTTTCCCAACCTATTGCTATCAAGACATCAGCTGTATTGTAACACATGTAGTGTTACAGATGCAGGAGTCATATGCCCTATCATTAATGCTGGGGCAACTGGTTGAATGATATGTCAATAACTCAATCCTGACAGTCAGGTCGTTTATCAATCTACAGTCATATCTGAGCAATATGGAACAAAACAATTAGGAAATTGGATATATAGATTTAGTTTGAGAACATATTTTATTTTGTCAGGTAATGTCAATTAACTTGATGAATTTCCTGCTGAAATGACTGATAGCAACAGTGGCAATCAACAATCATATATCACCACGACCGTGAAGATTCGGGGTAGAATAGGTCTTCAGCAACCCATGCTTGCCATAAAAGGTGACTATGCTTGTTGTAATAGGCAACTAACGGGATTGGGTGGTCAGGCTCACTGACTTGGTTGAAGCATGTCATGATCCCAATTGCATGGATCGATGCTCATTATGTCAATCACTGGATTGTCTGGCCCAGAATCGATTATTTACAGACCGCGGGAATATTGCTGAGTGCGGCGTTAAACAACAAACAAACAAACATCATATATCACCACAGTAAACTAAGCACTGTTTTCATATTGGCTCAAACACAGTTACATATCAGCAAATTCAAACTAATAATTACTGTAATTTAATATTTCATTAATTTATAACTTGATTTAGTCACGATATGGCTGAAATATTGCCGATGTGACTATAAACATTAACTCACTCACTCACTCACTGTAATTTAATAATTTTTGTATAATGCGAAAAAAATTCAAATGATCATAATTGATCAATGATCGCTTTGAGGACTATTTTATATGAATTTTTTAGAGCAATAATCCTCACTATTATAATAAATATTTTAAAAATAAATAAATATAAATACTTAAATATTATCTACAGATATCATTTACACAATGTCATATACATGTCACACAAAACAGCTCCATAACTAAAAAAACAGCAACTAAAAAAAACGTCATGATTATCCAACATTTGAAAAAAGATGCTTAAACCAATTTCTCGGTGCTTGCCCATAATATATTTAATACTTGTAACTCTATCATGTCTATGCTTCAACTTAGCAGATAAGCAGAAGTTTTTCATTTCCTTGTAAAAATAGCCTAGACACAACAGAACACTTCCAGGAAATGTCCTTGAGGTAAATTTCTAGTACAGGGCAAACTTCAAGTCCAACATTGTGTCTACAATTACGCAAGGCCGAGTGTCTACCAGTACACAACAATTCCACACTGTAGCCATTAGAATTATTGCCCTGGGTGCTATATTATGTCAGAGTTTAATTATTCTAGCAACTTGTTCACCTTTATCGTGATTATTTGAAAAATGTCCAGCACGAGGACAGACCAGTCTTTCAGTTCCCTGTAGGGATCCCGGGGCAAGAGAGATAACCAGTTTCCAATCTTGTACATGCTGTAAGTGTCAGTCACTATGAGCATAAGGTGTAGGGGCGGAGCCAGGATTAAAAAAAGGGGATGGTCCAGCCATTTGTAACTTGGGGGGTAGGGGTGGCGTGCGTCTTGGGGGTCTTACTAAAAAAATCACAAACATTACATGTAAACCATTATTAATAATTTTCTTTAACAACCAAATCAACATGTGTCTCCTAGCTTACTGTGTGTCACTGTAGCCGCACATTGGTCTGTGAGCAGGGCTGTACCCACAGAGTGGTCTGTGAGCAGGGCTGTACCCACAGAGTGGTCTGTGAGCAGGGCTGTACCCACAGAGTGGTCTGTGAGCAGGGCTGTACCCACAGAGTGGTCTGTGAGCAGGGCTGTACCCACAGAGTGGTCTGTGAGCAGGGCTGTACCCACAGAGTGGTCTGTGAGCAGGGCTGTACCCACAGAGTGGTCTGTGAGCAGGGCTGTACCCACAGAGTGGTCTGTGAGCAGGGCTGTACCAACAGAGTGGTCTGTGAGCAGGACAGTACGCACAGAGTAGTCTGTGAGCAGGACAGTACCCACAGAGTGGTCTGTGAGCAGGGCTGTACCCACAGAGTAGTCTGTGAGCAGGGCAGTACCCACAGAGTGGTCTGTGAGCAGGACAGTACCCACAGAGTGGTCTGTGAGCAGGAGGGTACCCACAGAGTGGTCTGTGAGCAGGGCTGCACCCACAGAGTGGTCTGTGAGCAGGAGGGTACCCACAGAGTAGTCTGTGAGCAGGGCTGCACCCACAGAGTGGTCTGTGAGCAGGAGGGTACCCACAGAGTGGTCTGTGAGCAGGGCTGTACCCACAGAGTGGTCTGTGAGCAGGGCTGTACCCACAGAGTGGTCTGTGAGCAGGGCTGTACCCACAGAGTGGTCTGTGAGCAGGGCTGTACCAACAGAGTGGTCTGTGAGCAGGGCTGTACCCACAGAGTGGTCTGTGAGCAGGGCTGCACCCACAGAGTGGTCTGTGAGCAGGGCTGTACCCACAGAGTGGTCTGTGAGCAGGGCTGTACCCACAGAGTGGTCTGTGAGCAGGGCTGTACCAACAGATTGGTCTGTGAGCAGGGCTGTACCCACAGATTGGTCTGTGAGCAGGACAGGACCCACAGATTGGTCTGTGAGCAGGACAGGACCCACAGATTGGTCTGTGAGCAGGACAGTACCCACAGAGTGGTCTGTGAGCAGGGCTGTACCCACAGAGTGGTCTGTGAGCAGGGCTGTACCCACAGATTGGTCTGTGAGCAGGGTTGTACCCACAGAGTGTTCTGTGAGCAGGGCTGTACCCACAGAGTGGTCTGTGAGCAGGACAGTACCCACAGATTGGTCTGTGAGCAGGACAGTACCCACAGAGTGTTCTGTGAGCAGGACAGTAACCACAGAGCAGCTGCAGAGTGGTCTGTGAGCAGGACAGTACCCACAGAGTGGTTTGTTAGCAGGACAGTACCCACAGAGTGGTCCATGAGCAGGACAGTACCCACAGAGTGGTCTGTTGGCATGACAGCGGGTTAATACTTTCCCTGCAAGAATCAGTGTGTAACCATGGTAACTGTATCTTACCAGTAAACTGAACATGTGATGGGTTCCACATCCTCCCTGCTACTTGGAATCAACACATCTGTAAATAACAACAACATTGTCATAGTGTGATTATCAGTTAACATTAATGCTTTACACTATAAGTGCAGAAAAAAGTGGCAACAGAGAATTATGAGCACAATATCTTTATTGCTTTGATGACGATAATACTGCATCATGAAAAGGTGACCAATTGGACAGTGAGTGAGTGAGTGTTTACTGCTGCTGCGTATTCCATGTATATCACAGTGTGTAAGCCTACTGTTGGAGGAAAGCCTGAAGTGATGCAGGTCTCAGATGTTTACTACTTTGGTGAAAGATTAGACAATGACAACAAACTACAGCTGACAACTTCAGGATAGTCCTATTTTAGTCTTTCATTCTGTAACACAAACAGACTGACATTGACTGTTTTACATTTGCCAGTCTGACCACCTGAAGTTAAACTTACCGGTCATTATTAAAGTTTACTGGCGTTTGCCCAGTGGTCCGTTAAATTAGGGGTGAGGTGAAGTGGGGTTTAATGTTGGGTTCAAGATTATTGCACTTATATAGCGATGTGCATGCATATGTGTGTGTGTGTGTGTGCAGCTAGCCCACTGAGGTACCATGCCACAGTTTAACATGAATACCCCACTCAGACACAGTATACCAAATCTGAGCTGATGAGTCCTTTATTTAATCCCCTTAATGTCGAGCACCAGACAGGGTAACAACAAGTACCATCTTTTAATGTCTTTTGGTACGACTTGACCAGGGATCGAACCCTGTCTTTCTAGTCGCCGGACAGACGCTCTACCACTTGACCACAGAGGCAGTCGCAATATGGGGATGTCACGCTACGCCTACCCCAAATACTGACAAATATGGTAATACTTGATACGATATGTTTTGTGATAATAACAAACAAACACATCTCCATTATATTCAATGTCAACAAGAACTTGTTGCTGCCAACTAGTTTGTGTTTAACTCACATGACTGAGTAATGTAGCTTGTTCTGTTACAATATGCATATACTCAGCAATTTTTTCAAACCAATAAAAGCAGCTATTTCCACCTCTTATATTCTAACATGATACTGTAGAAAACAAAGGACAATTTACCATGGAGTTTTTTTGCAAACCTGGATAGATGTGTCATGCCATGTAAACACTTACACTCAATCCTTCAGTGACATCAAGTCAATCACGAGGCAGTATCAATGCTAAAAGCTGATTGAAGTGCAAATTACTAACACAACATTCATAGGTTGCAATTATGTAATACAAAATTGATTGAAAAGGCCTGTACCACAACTTGACCATGACTGATCACCTTATCTTTGATCTCCATGTCATCGGTCACACATGTGCAAGGCATGTTTGACAAGCAACATTTCAATATCATAGATTACAGAGTCTGGACAGGTAAAGATGTAATGCTATGCTCCAGAGCAGTGATAGATAACAGCCTGATTAGATTCTGCTCTCCTAATTCTTTGCCATAACACTACCCAAAAGGCATGGACCTATTCATGCTGCAGGTATATAGTTTTATAACCCTTGTAAATGTTCAGTGAATTAGCATTTGTCGTAAAACATGCATATTTGAAGCATACATTGGACCATACTATTAGCTGTGCTAATTGATATACAGATGTTAATTAGGTCACCAGTGTCAACTGTGAACCTGAAGCAATGCTGGGCAACATGCTTCTCACGTCAATATACACAACCCATACTTGCATATGTTGTGTAGTGGTCATCAGTTTTTAAGAAAAAAAACAGTGAGCTGTTGTCTGTACTTAAATAAAAAAAAATGACACAATGAAATACCCAGATGTAATATTTTCGCACACATCTCTAGTTTCAACTTTCAGTTGTTTCATTCGGTCACAGGACCCAATCTTTGTTTTGAATAATTTCTTTGTCATTATTTGACATATAGGCCGAATGATTACCAGCAAGTTCATATCGAGATGTACAGAGGTGTTTAATATTCAGCATGTCTGTCATGTTCATTTTTTGTGTTAAACTCTCTGTAAAAAGTGAAACTGTATATCAAGCTTCTTAAAAACAAACTGGCATGACATTAGATAACATTTCATTCATACCACCTGAATACTTGAATCTTACCTGCTTACAGTTAAAACGTCAACAAAGTGATCATGACAACAAAAAAAGCGTTCTGTAGATTGAAACTTTACTGATAACGACAGTCGTCATCGCTTTCATATTTTCACATAAAAACAACAGCTGACATCTATAAATCAATGAGCATCTGCCATGATCGTTATGAGCACGCGACAGTATTTCAAAACATTTACACATGCTGGGTTTCAAACAAAAGTTGAACACAGGTGTGACAGACTTGACATAAACATTGTAAATACAGGGGTAAAAATCGAATTTAGTCGCCTGATCAGACGCGGTTTTTGTGTATTTACCTCACAGAGACTCTTGGAGTGTTGATAACACAAACACAAATATTCCCTGCCCGTTTTGAGACTCAGGTGTGACTTCTATCAACAAGTGTCCGCTTCATCTTTGCCCATCACGAAACAGCGCCACCTCTCGGACAGGTAGTAGTATGTCCAGGGGAAGTCAGTCATATAATACCAGTTTAACCTGCATACCGTTAAAAAATTGAAATTTGACTTTCACACAATATGGGTTTTCATTATTTTTCAAATGGAACGATCTCTCTGTAAATGAGAAAAGTTAATCGTATGTAGTTATTCGAACATCTGCTTAAAAATACTAATTCTCGTCACGTGGAAAAAAAACTGAAAATTATATTTCAACACTTCAATATGTACAGGAGATGATTCAAATTTGAAAACAAATAAAAACAAACTGGGGTTTTATTTGAAAACAAGACTTTCAGATTGATATAAACTTTCGGTTTAGTATGAATTAGATTTTGTAGGTAACATTGTCAATACCTTACAATATTGTAAACGTAGTGTATTAAACCGAGCAGTATTAACGATGCCATATTTTAAGGACGTAATGAACTTATAGTCATTTCTAAAAAGCCATAAAAAACATTACATTACTATTCTTAATGGCACTTTTGAAATTGCAAAACATACCAATCATACGTACGTAGTGTGACTTTATTTCTTTAAAATATTTACATTGGAAGCCTTTATAGAATCTGACCAGAGAGTGGTGAATGATGTTAACGTCGCATCAAAACTAATCCAGCTGCACTACAGCGACCTGTAAATAATCGAGCATGGACCAGACAAACCAGTGACGGCAGGAGAAGCCATCCACGACATGGATAACCGCGACACGGAACCAGTCAAGTCAAAGAGCATGACAACCCGACCGACAATAATCCCGCCATTGAATTCCACTAAGCTTAAATTGTTACAACTGGGGCGGCTGGGTAGCCTAGTGGTTAAAGCGTTCGCTCGTCACGCCGAAGACCTGGGTTCGATACCCCCCATGCATGGGTACAATGCGTTAAGCCAATTTCTGGTGTCCCCCGCCGTGACATTGCTAAAAGAGACATAAAATACAACCCATTCTCTTGATACAACTTTATAGGAAGTTCGTTCATCATTCATAAAATCTTCCGTGATTCGAAATATCCGCACGATTGCATGTTTGTTGCCAGAGTTAAGTTATAGGGCGAACATAATGGCTACAATATATAATTACTGATGTACATAAGAGGGTGATATTGCTGGAAGATTGCTAAACGCGGCATGAAACCACACCCACCCACTCTAAGCGGGCGACACCCAGAATCCCCAAACTCACTGACATTATGTGTTCGAACCCCGGAGGACAACATGGAATGAGTGAATATAGTATTACGCCGCTTTTAGCAATATTCCAGCAATATCACGGCGGGGACACCAGAAATGGGCTTCACACATTGTACCCATGTCGGGAATCGAACCCGGGTCTCCGGCGTGACGAGCGAACGCTTTAATCACTAGGCTACCCGACCGCCAAAGACAACGTGGAGCGTGCTGACTTGACCACTGGGGTGCCCGGTCCAGTTCCGGGCCACAGCCCACGCTGAAGGTTGACTGTCCAACTACAGACGCCAAGCACTGAATATATAAACAGTCGATACTGAACTTTCAGTCTCGTGCAAAGGCACACATCGTATTTGGCCTGCCTTTAGTGAGAGTGTTTCTATAGCCTTGTGGTTAAAGCATTCGCGTGTCTTGCCGAACACCGGGTTCGAATCGTGGGCTCGTATGGAAACAAGAAACACGACCCCAAGCAACATATATATGCTTGTCGTGAGAGGCGACTAACGGGATCGGGTGTTCAAGCTCGCTGGCTTGCTTGATTGCATATCATCATATCCCAATTACGCAGATCGATGCTCATGATGTCATTCACTGGATTGTCAGTTTCTGATTCGATTATTTGCAGACAGCCATCACAGAGCTGGAATAGTAGGGAATTTAACAACAAACAAACACAAGAACCTGTAAAACCTATTCCCTATGTCCCCGTTATTATAACCGTTACCTGGCTGCAAGATTAGTGATGCGGCGTTTAGCAAAAAATACTCACTCACTCACTCATTACCGTTACTCAGAGGATTCCGTGGATGAAGGTACATTTCTAAGACAACAATTGGGCGAAACATACGACCTACCTATGCGGTCAGTCCAACGCGGTTATTCCCCACTAATTGGGGGACCTGGCGCCCTAACATCACCAAATCTGAGTCAAATACTGGGATCACGCACGGCCAACTTGAACCAATATTTACACTTTTGCTTAACGATTGTGTTAAAGGTTCTAGCCAAGCCAATACGTCCGTGGGACGTGCCGGGAGACTAGTTCTAAACAACGTCGGAGGGGGGCCATGGCGAAGTGCACACAAAAAGTTGTTTCCAATTGGATGTTTCTTCTTTTGTACTCTTCTCTGTGACTGTCGGACATCTAGAGGTTGACACCTATAAGGCAATAGGTTTTCCAATGTCATTGTTAAAAACATCACTGTTTGTAATTTGTAGACCTAACAGTGAGTGTGAGTGAGTACGTTTAACGTCGCTTTGAACACTGTTTCGGTCATGTCATTTTTATTTCAGCAGTATGACTGCGGCCTGTAGAAAACCGAATCTGGACCAGACCATCCAGTGATTGTCATTGTGAGCATCAATCCTTGCAATAGGGATACGATGACATGCAGCCAACCAAGTCACCGAGCTTGACCACTCGGTTTATTTAGGCGCCTCTTACGACAAGCATATAGATTGTTAGGGGCCTTTAGTCTTACATGAAATTCCTACGGGTATGTATAATGGGGCGGTCGGGTAGCCTAGTGGTCAAAGCCGAAGACACCGGTTCGATTACCGACATGGGTACAATGTGTGAAGACTATTTTTTGTTTCTCCCACCGTGGCGTTGCTGGAATATTGTTAAAAGCGACGTAAAACCATACTCACTGATTAGAATATAGTAAAGCAGCATTCGCCACCACCCGCCTCTTTCCGTAACCTGCAAGAAAACTCGTCCCCCTGTCGATGAATGTTATGTGCAAAAAAAAGACAAACCAATCAGAATGCACGAATGATTTCAAGTTCTTCATAAAAAAATCCCTCAAAATAATTTTTGATTTTACATATGTCTTGCGTCTAAAAATATTCCAAAGACACAGTTAAATGGGTTAAATCATACTGTATAATTCCGCACGTCCCGATGTGTTTTAAATTGCATCTAAAATATATATAATATATGGGGAAAATGTGTGAACCATGACGCAAGGAGTTGACAATTGTTTAAGGTATGCCCGTTTGCGCTAAGACAGAACCCGGTCGCAAAAATGGCCACGAGAGGGGCACGAGTCGCTATTCGGCTTGTCCCGGAATAACACGAGTTGGTCACGAATGGTCAAGCAGGTGATGGTCATGTGTGTGACGAGGTCCACACCGTCGGGGTACCATGACACGTTGTGTCAACAAAGTCACCGAACCCGACCACCAGATCCATTTAGTAGCTTCTAACGTCTGGACCAGATCATCCAGTGATTGACATTGTGAGCAACGGTCCACACTGCCGGGGTACGAAGCGACGCGCAATCAACCAAGTCACCGAGTCTGACCACACGGTCCCTTTAGTGTTACGACAAGCACAGGATCCCGGGGACCTTTTCTAACCCAGGTTCCTCACGTCGTCAGTGTCAGCCCTCAGACGCTGGTCGAAGACGCTAATCAGCACGGGTGTTGAATAATCTGGGATTAGAATCCGTGATCAGCGGATCCTGGCACAGCTAAGGTACGCAACGTATTGACTCACGAAAGCATGAGCGCGTGTGTGAGAGTGTTTGGTTTAATGCCGCTTTAAACAGGAGGCCAGTTATATCACAGCGTGTCAGTTTGGTGTTAGAGGAAAGTCCTATGTCATGCACGTCTCAGATGTTTACTTCTTTGGTGAAACCCATTACACCAGGCATGCCCAAGGGACGCAACTCTGCACAGCGAATTGCGGCGCCTTAGACGACTGGGTCACTCAAGCATTTGCACGTTTACTGTGAGCACAAGGCGTTAAAACACGGCGAGTATTATATGAGTTACCTTGGCCGGTAGGCTGTAGTGGTTCCAGTTTAATTCAATATATCAACATGGAAAGGATATATTCGTGTCAAATATAAGAGAGCTACGCGATAAATCGCAAAGAACAATGAAGAACGAAGCGTGGTTTATATCACGATACACATTTCTGGAGGTTCGAATATGCGCTCGCAAATTGATGAAACATACATCGGACATCGTTATTTTTGAAAGGTATGTATCAAGTAAGTTGTTCCCCATAGATGTAGCTGGGCTGCGCAGATACACGCAGTTGCCGAACGACGGATGATCAACGTGAGGATTGTGAGAGTATGCGGGAAATATCAAACTTAACCCACCTGTTCGTATAATGGACTTGTCCGACATTTTCGAGGTCGGAGTCTATCCAGGCAGTCATCATTATTAAAATTTAGGTAAATATTTTTAAAACTTGTACATTTTATCAACATCCTTAAAGAGACTGTACATAATGTTGATATCTCAATAAGAAATACACGACTCGTGGGTGGTCGTTGTTTATCGTACAATACAACACTGCAGGGAGAAAAAACCACTCGAGGCTGCGCCCCTCATGGTTTATACTCCCTGCAGTGTATTATTGTACGATAAACAACTCCCACTTGTTGTTATGTCTTAAATATAGCACGGTGTCTGCTATACACATATATGTGAAGAGCTTGCAGCTCATGAAAAGACTATCTCCCAGTCGATGCCATGTTCCCAGTGAATGGTGTTATAGTATTCGAATGGACAAGAATGTGTTTGATTCGGTTGTGATGAAATGACGGAACATCTTATGCCAAAAAGTTTTGGGTTCATATGTCACTGGATGCACGAAACCCAGCTACAATATTCTACTTGGAGGTAAAACACAAATACCCACGTGAGTTTTGTTTCCTGTCAGGTTTGACGGTGGCCTTGTGGTTAATTGACATAATGAGGAAATTTGTCTCTGTGAAAATAATATTTTGACCAACTCTGTTCTGTGTGAATAGACTAAGTAAATTTACTTAAGCGATGAAACAGTTGCATGCGTATTAGATCAATGGGGGCACTATTTGACGTAAAACAAAACAAAAAACGAATCCAAATCAAGTCTAGAATAATTTGGCAAGTCAAGATCTTAATTTGTAGAGACAAAATTTAAAAATAAACACAACAATATTTGTGGGACTAAATGTCAGTGTTGATTCAGCTTTAAATGAAGCTGTGAAAAGAATCGTTCCTGTTTTGACAAAGCTTAACATACAATGCTATAAGTTATCTTTTGACTAAAACGTATACTTGTTACGTTTGCAGTTTGATTTACTGTGAGGGAAGGTGAGAAGCCTATCTTTCGTTCGCTGAAGCCCCCATCGACTCTGGAAGAGTTCGACCAATCGATGATGAATATGAATAAAATCGACAACCAGAAAAATCAATCTCAAAGCCATAAAAGTGCCCATCAAAGGGAGATAACAATACGAGGAAAGTGATACCTTCTGACAAGTGCGGTATAAACTGTCATCGATTCAAAAAGATAGCAATGAAATGTTCAATATATCGGCGGAGATATAATCCCGATATCTCCAACACGCCAGCTGGGACCTCGCAATCGGTCATGCCGCAGATATTCCTACGCCCAGTTAGAAAATACCCTTCCCCCCAAACGCACATGATCCTGTCATCTGAAAGTCGGCTCCATACAGACGGAGATATATTTCCCTACGGTGGAGAACGGGGATGATGATGTGATTTAGAAAATTGAGACTAGGCAGCCATGCCGACGTCTAACTGAACATACTCGACACGTGCCGTCAGACATAGCCAATAAAACACTGCACAGAGAGAGAGAGAGAGAGAGGGGGGGGGGGGGGGGGGGGGTGTAAGAGAAGAGAGAGAATGAGAAAGGAGAAAAAGAAGGGAGAGTGAGAATGAGAAGGGAGAGAAAGAAAGTGGGTGAGATAGCACGAGGAGAGAGAATGAAGGTAAGGAGAGAGAGAGAGAAAGAGAGGGAGAGAGAGTCGGAGAGAGAGGGTGCAAGAGAAGAGAGAGAATGAGAAGGGAGAGAGTGATACTAAGGGAGAGAAAGAAAAAGGGTAAGTAGAGAGAGGTGGGGTGGTGGGGTGGTGGGTGGTGGTGATAAGACAGTTGCCTAGTGGTCAGCGGTGCCGATAGCTGCTATACGGAGTAACGCCCCTTAGCCTTGCCAGGATCCGCTGTTTCTGGGTACGAATTCAAGATTCGCCTAGATTACTTTCCATTATCGGTCAACACCATTGAAGTACCAAAACAGAAAACGTCCAGTGTCACTTTGGCCTTGCTCCTATTACAATGCGTCACCGTGATGTAACTGAATAAGACATGTTAAACCCAACCCACTAATGTCAGTGCCCCCTGCCATATGCTCTGATACTCAGGATGTATTTAATCCTGGACTCAAACAAACGGCGTGGAGCACGTAGAAGAATTCTTTGCCACGCGTCATATAGATAGCAGTTTCAGTATACTGACGAGGCACCCTAACCCACTGAATTCTTTATAATAAACCGCAACCTTCATTCTCGATACTTTCTGGAGATAAGCCACGAGTTCTGCTGCTATATTCGAACTAGGTTAATTGCTTTGAGATTGCACGGGCGCTTCTTTCGATTCGTAACGGCACTTTTGAAATATAGCATTGCATCCAATATCTGAAAAATACGACATACTTTTCAATTTTCAATCATAGTAGATTACAAGATAAAACCTGTCATATTGCAGCTCCTCTTTCAATCACGTAATCCGTCTTCCACAGCCGAGTAGCTGAGAAAACAGGTTACTATTCACAATGAATTAGAAAAACGAACATGGTATTTCAAATATCAAAATACCCAAATTTAGATATCAATGCCCTTATTCGCCGAGTAAAGAAACATGTTCGACGGTAGAAATGGTGTCTTTGTCTGAAGTTCATTTCCGGAAATTGCCGCGGTGTTTTTGTTGAAAACAGATCAATCTGATTGTACGTGCACATTGCAATGGTAACATGTTTAAAAAGCAATGTTGAAGTGAATGATGAAATCCCTGTTGAGAACTCTGGTACAGACAGCCCGTACATTTCCTTTACAGAACCATTGATCGAGAAAAGAAGAATATCTCCGTTGATCCTCCTACTGTCAACGTTTGACCCGAATACTCCCGACGCAAATCTTTCACCGTAATGTACTCTTAAATCATTAAAAGGGACATAAACGCTTCTTTAAATGACACGAATCTTCTAAATGCACTAAAACGTCGAGAAGAAGTTTTGTCTGGGCGGTTGTGCGATTCATGCCTCTTGCTGTTTGCATCACGTAATCGACAAACATGTTAGTCGTACTTGCTAATTTACGATCCTTTGTCTTCTAACCATTTTAACTCGGAACCATTTGAATCTCCTCACATCGCCCACTTTTAATCTCCGATCTCCTCAGATAGATCTCTTTCAATTCAGAGAGTATTATTCAGCTGTGAATAGCTAAACCAGAAACGCAATCGACAAGGTCAGAAGAGGTCGAAGATGTAATTGACTCAATTACCATAATGATAGAGCCTTTCATATTAAGGCCCTTCTTCACTTGTTGAGCATGCGAATCCGGTAAAGTGCATTCAGAGGACCTCGGTGAATCTCGGCCGGGCTGTGTCTCGGAGTGCCGATAGTTGAGCGCTGTATGTTTTTCTGTAGAGCAATCCGTTCACTTCTCGGATCCGCGCACGATGGATTGAACATGCTGATTAGATTGTGAAAGTCCCTTATAAGCAGGGGAAGTAATTAGCTTCCAATGCTATAATTGGCCATTCTCTGCTAGCACTTGGGATGTGCGGAAGTGATTCTAAAATGCCCTGGCTTGAAGAAGGAGATCCAGTTATCGATATAAACAAGAGAGTTTGTGTCTTCGCGTCAGTGATGGGATGCTAAAGACAGTTACGGCAAGGATATATTCACAATGGTAGGTAATATTACTCCTAGAATTAAACTTCTAAACACGCACATAAATAACCGACAAAATGCATTTATCTCTTAATGTAAATGCAATTCATTTTTTATTGGTATCAACTGTACTTTATGTTTAGAATTTAATATTCTAACTGGCATTAGGTATTATAATTGATAACATGTATAGTTGTCACATTTGAATGTTAACATTTGTATTCATCGAATTGGAATCAACATGTTTTCGTTAGTATGTCTGTCGTAGGGTCCAACTTGTTTATGCGGAGACTTTGCACAAAAAAATACCTTCTATGGGAAAAGTTGCAACATATAAGACGTGATTTCATGAAATGTCATTATCGCAAAAAACGAATTTAGCCAAAGGGGACAGAGCATTGTTAGTCATGGTTAGGGACACTGCAAGTATCTGCCTGTCCTTGGCGACATCCAGCATTCCCGTTTCTGGCTGATGTCGCAGGACAATTCCATAGCAGCATGGTTCCATGGTGGTGAAAAGGTATGATATTTCGGTTGAAACAATTTCTCTGTGTCTAATTAATTATATTCTTGTTACACTATCGTTTGTAAACACACCTGCACGTATGAAGTAGATGTACCTCGTGCGGGGTTATGGGGTACCGTTACTTTATCAATATTGACATGTTTACTGTACGCATACCTCTGTTTATCCAAATTTGAAAGAAAATATTGTTTATACCTGTTAAACTCCCATCCCCAGATGTTCTAACAAGGTAGTAATAGTTCGCCTTATCTAATTTCTCCACGTCAGATATTGTGTGACATTACACTGTGCGCTCTGTGAGTCTGCTGGTTGAAGCTTAATGCAGTGTTCATGCAATATAACAGTTGTTTTCCACAATGTACTTTTGTGGGGATCGAACGCGGCTCTTCGGGATGACGAACGAACGCTTTAACAACTAAGCTACCTCAATACCCGCATGAATCAACACAACGATTTTGTGCCTAGCTCATTAAAATATATTTTTTAAAGCATGAAAATTATTAATTAGAAGGAAAAAGACCATAAGAAGTACCATTACTTGTTTATATACTCTTTAAGTCATACCGATAGTATCGAAACATGGCGTCTGACAATACGATATTTGAACCATTCAACAACAACGACTTATGTCCAACCTCAACTGTCGACCGGATTTGATAAACGTCGGAGAGATGGTCAAATTCCTCATCTATGCCCGACAGACATTCACCAGTCGAAGAACAAAAGGTTATTTTGAATGCACGTCCTTCACAATGCAATCAATGCCAAAGAAACTGACCGTTCGAGTTGCTCTAATTGATATCGCACCTCGCCCACCTCCCCGAAGAGCGAGTAATGCGCGGAATTTCTATGGCATGCAACACATTTTGTCTCTTGATCTGGGAATATTCTTTTAGCATCACTGTCCGACATTTTGTCTCCCAACTTCCCCCGAGTATACAATCTTAAAACACTTCCTTTCATTACTAAAATCAAAGAAATATTAATAGAAAACGTTCCACTTTTAATCCATATTTTTGATCATTTTTTGCGACACTCTTATTATCGATGTGCGACTTATTCCTAAACCTCCATTATGGAGATGAATAGTTTCCGGCAGTTTGTGTTGAAAGGCCTCAGATGTGAGGTGTTGAGTGACTGCCGTGGATCAGTTTCGATACACACCGACCATTGATGTGTTGTGATGTTTCAGATTATGCAGACTTCTCTGAGCGTGTGTACGTGCCTTATATTATTCATCATTTCAGAAACAGGTTTGTAATTTACAATTTCGTACTTTTTATCATTCCTAGGAGATGAAAATGAATGTGAAATGCCATTCCATTATATCACAGCTGATATCCTTGCTACATAAGAAACAGCTACGTATGAGTTGAAAGGTTTGAATATATTGATCATTCGTATTTTGATGATGATGAGGAGGATAAGGATGATGATGATGTGATGATGTAATGATGATGATGGTGATGGTGATGGTGATGATGATGATGATGATGATGAGTAAACATTTTAAGACTATGGGGATGTTGTGTTTAGGCTGTCAGAGGACAGCTCATTTCATTAGTTTAGACCATAAACGTGTTTAGATTTAACATACCGTTAAGGAATTCCTAAAAATGTCTTGTTGCTGTTTCCATTCTAAACACATTTTTTACAATGTATATTTGAGGGCATTTAGAAGTTGGATATGTAGTTAATGACATGATATAGATGATTAACTCCCTTATTACAATTGTGGAGACGTGACGGTGTACATTCCAATGTCTTCGTCACACAGATGATTATCACCTAGTTAACAACTATATTCTCATGAAGTACATAGCCGTATGGATTCCGGGTAAGAATATAGGTCCCCAGCAACCTATGCTTGTCGCAAGAGGCCACTAGATGCTTGAGTGGTCAAGCTCGCTGACTTGGTTGGTTGCATGTCATCCTATCCCTATTGCAAGGATCGATGCTCATGCTGTCAATCACTGGATTGTCTTGTCCAGACTCAATGATTTAGATTTAGATGGATTATTGAGGAATTAAACAGATACAAAGGTATGTTATTAATCAACCAGCTTATAGAGGTTTCATCTCAGTTTTGATCACAATTACGCCTGAAGGCTGCGGGTAAGAATCCATGAGATAAGGTCCGTCTGGAAGGAAATCCAAGAGGCCGCCATATCCGTTGGTTATATTCGAAGCTTGTTACTCACAATAATGCAATAGTAGTGATTAGCCTCCCCAGAAATAAGAATCGTGCTCGTAATAGCTGATTATGCGTAAAATCCGTCTGCAAAGAGCTGCACATTATAAGAAATTTAAAAAGTGATCCGCGCAGTAATAATAGGATTGGTGTTTATACAAGGTAGCACAATTTGGATGTATACAGGAAGCAACAGGGGCCTCATATTAATACTAATATTGGAATCGAACCCGGGTTACGGCGTGACGGACCAATGCCTACAGAACTCCTGCAGAAAAGAATTGGCTCACATATGACATGGTGCTTACTTTGCAAATTGTAGCCATTGTGGACAGAGAAATACGATCGGATCAACTGTGGATGATGTGGTCAGGAGGAGGGCTTGATCAAACATTTCACTACTAGAGATGGGAGCATCGTATCAAACACGTCAAAGACACTATGATCAAACATTTCACTTCTAGAGAAGGAGGGGCGGTCGGGTAGCCTAGTGGTTAAAGCATTCGCTCGTCACGCCGAAGACCTGGGTTCGATTCCCGACATGGGTACAATGTGTGAAGCCCATTTCTGGTGTCCCCCGCCGTGATATTGCTGGACTATTGCTAAAAGCGGCGTAAAACCATACTCACTTACTCACTCTCTAAAGAAGGAGCATCGTATCAAACTCGTCAAGGACTGTATGATCAAACATTTGGCTACTGTGTAGAGAAGGCGTATCGTATCAAACACGTGGCTACTGTGTAGAGAGGGAGTGTATGGTTAAACATTTGACTACTTTGTAGAGAGGTAGTATTGTATCAAACACGTGGCTACTGTGTAGAGAAAACAGTTTGATCAGACACCTGGCTACAGTGAAGCAAAGGAACGTTTGAACAGACACGCGAAGGAACGTTTGATCAAATGAAGCGAAGGAACGTTTTATCAGACACGTGGCTGCAGTGAAACAAAGGAACGTTTTATCAGACACGTGGCTACAGTGAAACAAAGGACCGTTTGATCACACACGTGGCTGCAGCGAAGCAAAGGATCGTATGATCAAATACGTGGCTGCAGTGAAGCAAAGGATCGTATGATCAGACACGTGGCTGAAGTGAAGCAAAGGATCGTATGATCAGACACGTGGCTTCAGTTGCAGTGAAGCAAAGGATCGTGTAATCAGACACGTGGCTGCAGCGAAGCAAAGGATCGTTTTATCAGACATGTGGCTATAGTGAAGCAAAGGAACGTTTCATCAGACACCAGGCTGCAGCGAAACAAAGGACCGTTCGATCAGACACGTGGCTGCAGTGAAACAAAGGATCGTTTGATCAGACACGTTGCTGCAGCGAATCAAAGGATCCTATTATCAGACACGTGGCTGAAGTGAAACAGAGGACCGTTTGATCAGACACGTGGCTGCAGCGAAGCAAAGGATCGTATGATCAGACACGTGGCTGCAGTGAAGCAAACGAACGTTTTATCAGACACGTGGCTATAGTGAAGCAATGGAATGTTTTATCAGACACGTGGCTGCAGCGAAACAAAGGACCGTTCGATCAGACACGTGGCTACAGTGAAACAAAGGAACGTTTGATCAGACACGTGGCTGCAGCGATGCAAATGATCGTATGAACAGACACGTGGCTGCAGAGAAACGAAGGAACGTTTGATCAGACACGTGGCTGCAGAGAAACGAAGGCACGTTTGATCAGACACGTGGCTGCAGTGAAACGAAGGAACGTTTGATCAGACACGTGGCTGCAGAGAAACGAAGGAACGTTTGATCAGACACGTGGCTGCAGCGAAGCAAATGATCGTATGATCAGACACGTGGCTGCAGAGAAGCAAAGGAACGTTTTATCAGACACGTGGCTACAGTGAATCATAAGATAATGGTGACATATTTTTCACGTTTTCCTTGCCAGATAATTGTTGAAAGAAAACGTTTCAAGGAAAATAAATTCAATCTGTTTCATTATATCGGTATAGATGCGTTTCAAAGTAATTATATACAGCTTGATCTCAGCACGCACGTGCCTAAACAGCCGAACTCTTCTCACAACATGTTGAAGACATTGAGATACAATAGGATTTGCCGTTGCCCCGGTGCATGCCAGGTAATGGAGGTCACCCTAACCCGCGCACAAAGCCTTCACATACAACAAGATAATTGTTTTCACATATTTCAGGGTGATGAAGAATTCAGAACTCCGGTGACGAACGCCTTGTATTTTACTTGAAGGCAGGTTTACCTAATAGCTCTAGACGTATCTATCATGGGCCCCATTCCTCATTTCTTTGCCAACGCTCGGAGATAAATCAAAATGAAAGCAGTCGCTCATTGCAATACCACTTCAGAGAAAACTGAAAAAACCAACGACAGTTGCTTGATCCGGCCTTTTTTAATTCTTTTATTTCGTAGCCAATTCCGATACTAATTGAGACCCTGTTTCAACACTTATCGAGTTTCGTACAGAGGTAAGTCGATAAGTAGACTTCTAGCTATATAAAGTGTAATACAGGGGCCATTAAAGCTCCATAAGGATCTAAAACATTTTCGAAATATCTCCTTTGAGTCCTTGGTTATCAAGAAAACTAAACTTACATTCATCCTTATAATCTTAATATATTCCCATGAATGAAAAGCGTCAAAGAGTAGTGCAAGACTTTGAAAACAAGTGTGCTATGGTAAAACGTTGTTAAAAATATGTTGACATTTTACAATAAAGCTATAAAAAATTCGTCATTAATAGAGGCGTGTGTACACTTAATTGATTATTTCATCATTTTTATCATCTGTGCAATGTCATCAGGATTGACATCGTCAGGAACGTCTACCAATCTGCGCTGTAGAGTCTGCAGCGCTTTCCGTAATCTAAGGTTGATCACAAATTATGAAATGTATTGGCAACTATAAATATACCTGTCTTTAACTCTTACATCTATCTCCAAATATGTATGCTTTATATCATCGAAGGTAAGCTTTCAGTAAGAATTCCAGTACGGAATCGAAAAACAGTTTGAAAGACAAAACGATGACCACCTCGAAGTCGATTTTTCTCTCTCTCATTTTGACCAGAGAATCTATAACATTAATCTAGCATCCCTGTTTTGACGAATCAGGGCATACGGTGATCAAAGCTGTATGATTAGATGGGTCCAAGCGATTGGTTATACAACAACTGTTAAATATTCAATGGATATGATGTATGCTTAGTTTGTTTGTTTGTTGTTTAACGCCGAACTCAGCAATATTCCAGCTATATGACGTCGGTCTGTAAACAATTGAGTCTCGACCAGACAATCCAGTGACTGACATCATGAGTATCGATTCACGCAATTGGGATACGATGACATGCATGAACCAAGTCAGCAAATTCCACAAATGACGTCTTCGGGTATTGTGACGTGATTCTAAACTTTGAGGTGCAGGTCCCCGTTCCACAAGGCGATCGTACTGTAGAGCAACGACAGTCGTGAGTCTATGTTAAAGTATGTGCGTTGGGATGACCTTAGCGCTACGATAACTTTGTGGAACGGACGCCTGAATTCAGGTGGACCGTTGTATGATATTAACTTCATACGTTTCAACTTTTGACGTGTTTGAAGTATTATTCTGTTAAACTCAACTGGATTATGCCATTGATCGTGTAGGTGTCAGCCTATTCACACCCAACAGTATAATTCTAAAAACGTTATAAATGGCAAGTAATAAAAAAACCTCGTGAATAGTTGTGGTATCTGATTTTCGCGAGTCAGATACCAGAACTATTCAGTCGTCTCATAAAATTGGTATTACACGAGAGCTCGTTCAGTATTCTATAGATATCATATATATCATATTTTGATTGGCTTATGCATAGACTCGTTAATCCAGCCAAAATATAACTCCATAATTCCAGCCTAGTTAGGCAAGGGTAAAAACTGGACTTTGATAGTGAGATAACTCCCTTGCCTCGGGAAGATGGTCTAAGACGAACCCCACTTCGGCGAACCCCACTTCGGCGAACCCCACTTAGGCGAACCCCACCAGTATATGGGTAATGCGGATTAACGTGGGACCATAATCGAGACGAATCTGGAATTCCAACTCACGTTAATTAAAAAGATACGTTGAAAAAAAGCCTTACTATCAATGTGTCTTTGGAATTTACCGTGATTAAATGTCTGACGGCACCTAACGAGTGGTATTAATTAGCTACAAGGCCGAATATCTCAAAGGAGTAGAGCGTCTGATCGTTGTCAAGGGAGACATTAAATAATTATATACGAGTATAATGGATCATACATAAACGAACCCCCGTTATTCCGGACACTACCGTTAATACTATACAGATAAATCATCCGAATTACCAATTGAGTATGGTTCTAAGCCGCACTTAGCAATTTTCCAGCAAAAATACATAAATGGGATGTCACAACCCTGGCATTCGGCTTAACGAGATGAAACCATTTTGTGTAAACCCATTCGTCTAAGGCGCTTCAATTCGTATCCCGATTATGTTTCTAGGAGTAAACGTCTGAGACCTGCATAACTCCGGGCTTTCCTCCCACAGTAAGCTGACGAGCCGTGGTATAACTGGAATACTGTTCAAAGCGGCGGTAAATCCAAAGCCCGAAGTGACGCAAGTCTCAGACGTTTATCACTTCGGTGAAACCCACGAGCACAGGAATGGTGCTGAGGAACCTAGAAACATAATCGGGGCGAACCGGGATTCGAACCCACAATCATAGGTTTCTGGCGTACCCAATGGACGCAACTATGCACAGCGAATCATGGCGCCTTAGACGACTGGGCCACCCGTGACCCCGATTATTTAATGTTGTTTTAATATTGCTGACTGCGGCATTAAACAACATTCGATCAACACGTCCAATTAACGATATTTTGTGTGTCAGAGCTAAAGAACAAATTATTCAATTAAAAATCCCAGTCCCCTCCCACCATATCAAATTGTCGGTCCCTCAGCAGTATTCCACCCACGTTCATATCGCCGATGCCAGGTAACGATCCGCGTCTTCGGTGGGCTGAGCTAATGCAGAAACTACGTACTTGGTTACTGAAATGAGTATTGGATGTCAGCATGGGCTGCATTGTACTGCTTAATCTGTCTGATCTGATAAACTGTCACCCGTGAAGATCCGAGGTAGAATACGTCATCAGCAACCCATGCTTGCCGTAAAGAAGGCGACTATGCTTGTAAGAGGCGACTAACGGGAACGGGTGGTCAGGATCGCTGACTTGGTTGATGCATGTCATCGAGCCCAATTGCGTGGATCGATGCTCATGATATCAATCACTGGATTTTCTAGTGCAGACTCGATTATTTAAAGACCGCCGTCATATAGCTGAAATATTGCTGAGCGCGGCGCAAAACAACAAACCAACCAACCAACCAACCAACTGTCTGGCAAAAGAAAGAATACCCATGATTGCGAGTGGCTAAAAATGAAACGAAAAAAAAAAAAGTTATTCGAGATGGTGATTTATTTGATACGGGTATCAAAGTTGTGTTTTGTACCGAAAGTTTGCAGTGTTTTGGTAACATTTGTTTCGAAAACGTTAAATTGTTTGGTCAAATCCAGTTTTTAATTGTATACATTCTTTTGCGCCGCAGTTTTTATTTTCGTACTCCGACGGCGCGGTCCAATGCTTATACTATCGATCCCCGGTTTGTCATTGCGTGGATCGATGCTCATGATATTAAGCACTGGATTGTCTGGCCCAGACTCGATTATTTACAGACTGCCGTCATGTAGCTGGAATTTTGCTGAGTGCGGCGTTAAACGACAAACCAATCAACCAACCGGTTTGTCTGATCTAGGCACGGTAATTAGAGGCCATGATGTAGGTGTTATACTTGTAACCAGGACGTACAACAGCTACAGTTGAACTCCGTTAATCCGGAAACACCATGCCCCAGACAATTACAAGCGGGTCTATCCCTTGAATCATATATGGACCAATGTTTTATTAACCCAGACAGTTGTTAACCCGGCCTATTGTAGCGGGAACGGTATAGTCCGGATTAACGGGGTTTCGCTTACAACACAAGTCACGATAACATGTAATGTGTTACTTCATGAAATTTGTGTTTCTGCAGCTGGTCGGTGCGAGTTCAAGCATCGACTGAGGGACAAATGGTACTTTCAAGGACAGAATCGAAACACATTTATTCGGATTCGTCGATCAGCTGTTCAGTTCCACGCGGACAGGAACCACAGGATCCGTTATAAGTGCGTCGAGAGCAGAGGGAATATTTACTTAATGAGGTAGGTCCACACACACGAACGGGGCACTTCGACCCTCCTCCATAAATATTTGTTGTTTCATTAACGACGTGCTTTCCGTTAGATCCACGGCGGCCTTGTGAATGACTTCAAACACGTGCATGGTGCATCTGGCAGTGAAATCGACACGCCTTCGTCAATCCGGCGAGCTGGCACGTGCTCATCCTATCCATGACAACGCAGTCATACAATAAGTGAAAATATACACGAGGTTCATTTTCAGCCAGAAACGGATATGACACACCTTTGTTTTTGATTGTCATATATCCTTACGAATTATGATAAAAGTTCGTTTTCCCTCACGAATTATTCAAGTTGTGAATATCATTATGAAATTCTGTGGATATGTTTGGACTAGGCTCACAAGGACCAAATACATGTCGAAATACAGATCTGAAGAAATATGACGAAAAATGAGTGAAAAAGAGAAAATATAACTCAAGATGAATAACACAGTTCCTGAAAAAACAACTCTAAAATGAAGAGTGGACACGGGTGACCCAGTCGTTCGAGTTATGTCCCTTGGGCACGCCAGAAACCTATGATTGTGGGTTCGAAACGCTGTTCGCCCCGATTATTCTGCCAGGTTTGTCAGCACCATACCCGTGATCGTGGGTTTTACAAAAGTGGTTAACATCTGAGACCTGAATCACTTTCCTCGCACATTAAGCTGCAAGACACTATGTGATATAACTGGAATACTGTTCAAAGCGGCGTTTAACCCAGCTCGCTTACTCTAAAATCAACCAGTTGATACATATAGCCTATCCTCAACCTTTGGTGTCATTATATTATTGCTTCTTTCGTTTCATTTTTTTCTGTTTCACCCAACCGACAAATGGGGGTGCCAGTCCCCTTGGTACGCCGGAGGCAGAGCCCTGTTAAGTGTAGACCGGATGCCACAGTGCGAGTTTGATGCCATGTCATGTTTATCTGGTACGCGGATGCCAGTGTTGAAATTTATTTTTTGTCTTGCAAAATCAATAGAATACTTAGCCCTAATCTTATGAGCACGGATGGTCATACACTCTATGTGAAAATCTAATTTACTTGAACCAGCTGTGTACTGATGTGACTCAAATGTTTTTTAAATTGGATGCCAAGAAAAAATAATTGGTACACAGAATGCCTGAATTTCATTTCCGTAAACCAATAATTAAACAAGATCTTATTTGCTATTTTTTCTTGTTTTTAATTGTTACTCTTTCAACAAGGGATATAACGAAATACTTGATAAGCACTTGGACATATCCACCCTTCGCTGGAATCGGATTGTGACTACTTAACCCAATCCTCTTATACCTGGCGGCTGTTATAATTAATTGTGGATACTGCCAGGTATATAGATTCCTGGTCGGCTCGGAGTCAGTATACTGTGTCTGAGTGGGGTATTCATGTTAAACCGCAGCATGGTATCTCAGTGGGCTTGCACTATAAGTCGGCATCAGTCCGGACTAGTACAAGCAGCCACACACACACACACACACAAACACACACGCACGCACGCACGCACGCACGCACGCAACGCACGCACAAACACACACACACACACGCACACACAGACAGTCACACATACACACACAGACACACGCACGCACACACACAGAGACACACACACACGTGCATGTACGTCGCAAAATAATCACCTCACCTATATAGAGTATATGGCATCCACAATCACTGGATTGTCTGGTTCAGACTCGATTGTTTACAGACCGCCGTTGTATAGCTGGAATATTGCTGAGTGCGGGGTTAAACAACAAACAAACAGACAAACCAACAAAAATGTATGGCATCCTGTATGATAAAAGGTAACTTGATTTGTAGTGTGTCCCCGAAGGTCCTAGAGAAGAAATTAAAAAAGAAGTGCATCTCAAGTCTATAGACCGCCTCCGTGGTCTAGTGATAGAGCGTCCGCCCGGAGAGCGGAAGGTCTGGGGTTCGATCCCCGGCCGCGAAAGATGGTACTTGTTGTTACCCTGTCTGGCGCTCGGCATTAAGGGGCTTACACAAGGACTGGTCGGCTCGGAGTCAGTATACTGTGTCTGAGTGGGGTATTCATGTTAAACTGCGGTATGGTATCTCAGTGTGCTAGCACTATAAATCGACATCAATCTGGACTAGTACAAGCAGCAACAAACACACACACACACACACGTACATGCACGTCGCTATATAAGTGCAATAATCTTGGACACGACGTTAAACCCCATTTCACCTCACCTCACCTCAAGTCTATAATGATTTGGCAAGTCTAGATTGCCTCACTCTGAAATTAAGAATTTTTCTAGGCTCAATTTGGATTCTTTTGTTTTGCAGATATAAATTTTTAAATAAGATAAATTTATTTCTTGGACTAAATGTCAGTCTAATGGAATTGAGTTCACGATTTATAAAACCTTGTAAACGAACTGGTTAAGGATATGAATGTCCGTGGATTTGCCGCCTACTTAACACTCGAAAGATAAAAAAAGTTAAAGAATAATTGGTAAAGACTCGTGACCGTATGTTAACTAGTGTGACAATTACACGTTTTTTTCTGGTTCGATGGTCATCAGGACGTTGTGATGCTCAAGACAGCGTCTGAGTGGAAGTGATTTCATCTGTAGTTATACAAGCACACGCCGACCCGTTTTTCCTGTAGTCAGTACAGAGCATCGGGACACTCGCTTTGTCACAGTATCGATCTCACAAACACTCAGCCCTCCTTTTGTAATTGTTGTTGGTGATGATTTTTTAGAGAATCTATTACTCTCGGTAACAATATAGATATTTGCCTCTTGATATATATTATTTTTGATAAATTAATTTTATATCCAGCAAGGGAAAATAATAACAGCGTGAACAAAGATTGGCTGGTTTGTTGTTTAACGCCGCACTCAGCAATATTCCAGCTATATGACGGCGGTCTGTAAATAATCGAGTCTGGACCAGACAATCCACTGATTAATGTCATGAGCAACGATCCACGCAATTGGGATCGATGACTTGTATCAACCAAGTCAGCGAGCCTGACCACCCGATCCCGTTAGTTGCCTCTTACGACAAGCATCGTCGCCTTTTACGGCAAGCATGGGTTGCTGAAGACCTATTCTAACCCGAATTTTTACGGGTCGCGTGAACAAAGAGTGAGTGAGTGAGTTTGATTTGAACGCTACTTTGAACAGTCTATTAGTTGTATCACGGCGTTTCAGCTTCATGTGGAGGGAAACCGGAAGTAATGCAGGTCTTAGACGTCTACCACTGTGGAGCAACCCACGAAGCAGCTTAATCAGGGCGAAGTTGGTGTTCGAACCATTTGTTTTTGGCACGCCTAAGGGACGCAACTCTGTACAGGAATAAACAAAGAGAACAGTAGACATCCGACAAACGCGTGCACAGAGCTCCAGATAACTTTTTGAGCAATTTAGTTGTTACTCGAAGATTTCTATTTTATTTGGGTTATTACATTTTTCATTGGGTAACCAATATGTTCTCTGTCATCTATTCATCACTCTATTGGCCAAAATGAGTAAGCATTTGCGATTTAAAAAAAAAATGAAATAATGTTTTAGATGTTATTAAACGGTTCTGAATATAGGCTTGACTCGGAAAGTAAATTAGCTGGTAATTGTGTTTCGGAAATTAGCTCCTTTGTACGCATGCTTTTTGGATATTTACGCGTGCTCTTTTCAAACATTTGTGTTTTCCATTTAATGCATGCGTTTCTGTACGCAAGTTAATTTGAAGTAATTGGGTTTTGAATAGTTTTTTTTGGGTATTTTACTCAAATACGCAGCTTATCTGTAGCTCTGCGTGTACATTGTCATGATCAAAGTACAGCGTTCGGATTACCTTATTCTTGTAAAGTCGACCCCCAATGAGTGAGTCAGTTTGGTTTAAAGCTGGTTTACACAATATGTTAGTTATATCACCTGAACATAATGGGCTTCCTGGTTTTCGGCGTAAAATGAACGCTTTGTCTTCAAGTCGACTCCTTTTCCTGTTAACACGAATATGACAAATACATAGAATATATTAATTCAGATCTAACAGTCTGGTATGTTGTTGGACCAGGTTTCTCCCGTGCATGGTTCTGGGGCTTGTATTCACATTACCAACTCTCTGTTTCCAGGAAGAATCGGTTCGAGCCCAGCAAGGATGGCGTCTTGTGTATCGGGTTTAGCTATCTGGCGGATCACCCTAACGCCGAGTTCAGCCTCGTCCGACTCATGTGTAAGTGTTTAGTGTCAGTTAGTCAGTGCGATGAGTTTAACTCCGCTTTGGGCAATATTCCATCAGTATCAAGGTGAGGCACTAAGAAGAGGCTCCACACAATGTACCATGGGATGAGTGAGTGAGTATGGTTTTCGCCGCTTTTAGCAATATTCCAGCAATATCACGGCGGGGGACACCAGAAATGGGCTTCGCACATTGTACCCATGTCGGGAATCGTACCCGGGTCTTCAGCGTGACGAGCGAACGCTTTAACCACAAGGCTACCCGACCGCCCCACCATGGGATGAGCTGGTGCTTTAACCATTGGGCTCCTCTCTCCCCACTCTATAGCATCAGGGGGCACGGGCGGTCCAGTCATCTAATCTATGATCTTGGGTTCGAATTCCGGATCTCCAGTTTATGTTTCTAGGTTTGCTAGTACCACACCCTTTCCTAATAGGTGACTAACGGGATCGAGTGGTCAGGCTCGCTGACTGGGATGATGTATGACATCGCATCCCAATTGCGTAGATCGAGGCTCATGATGTCAATCACTGGATTGTCTAGTCCAGACTCGATTATTTACAGACCGCCGTCATATAGCTGGAATATTGCTGAGCGCGGCGTTACAAACAAATACACAAACAAACAGTTCCATACCCGTGCTCGTGGGTTTTACCGAAGTCGTAAACGTTTGAGACCTGCATCACTCCTCCCACAGTAGGCTGACACGCCGTGATATAACTGGAATACTGTTCAAAGCGGTTACACCAAACTCACTCACCCTATAGCATCAGTATCACAACACTTGATGAACGTGAGTGTTCGTTAGTAGATGTGCCGACCAAACATTTCCAAAATGCGAAACGATTACGTAGCTTTATATCGCTGAAACCATTTGAAGCCAAATGATCATTTGACAAATTTGTCCGAGTTTAAGTCTTTCTACTATACAAGGTTTCATTGGGAAGCCTAGTGGTTATTAAGTGTAAGCCTGAAGCAACAAAGGCCCGTGTTCGACTCCCCACAAGGATACCATATATGGACATGCTTTTTAACTTTAAAGCTGCATTTAATCCTGCTCACTCATTATAAAAGATCGGACGTCTGAATATTCAAATGACCCATTCGGCTCGAAGCCAAACACCCGCCTAGGCAGCTGATTGTCTTAATGTCGTGTATTTACATTGCAATAGATGGCGTTCACGGCAGTGTCTGTCGTTCCAATTAATGTTGTAATCAGAAGGGGAGCACGGGTGGCCCAGTCGTCTAAGGCGCCGCAGTTCGCTGTACAGAGTTGCGTCCATTGGGCACGCCAGAAACCTATGATTGTGGGTTCGCCCCGATTATGTTTGTAGATTTGTCAGCACCATACCCGTGCTCGTGGGTTTCACCGAAGTGATAAACGTCTCAGACCTGCATCACTTCAGGCTTTCCTCCCACATAAAGCTGAAACGCCGTGATATAACTGGAGTACTGTTAAAAGCGGCGTTAAACACAACTCACTCTAAATGTCGGTTAACACGAAGTAAACAATCCAAATCGGCAGTCTCTTGTTACGGCACTCCTCTTGTCTCGAACTCGTGATTACTCAAAACGGGTAGTGGTGGTCCCAAGATCGCGGTATGTCGACTGTTTCGTCCCTGAAGCCTGAACACACATATCTGATGACCGCCTCCGTGGTCAAGTGGATAGAACGTCTGCTGAGAGGGCGGAAAAACCTATGGTTCGCTTCATACTAAAATACGTTAAAAATGGTACTTTTTGTTACCCTGACTGTTGCTCGGCATTAGTGAGTATGCTTTTACGCCGTTTTTAGCAATATTCCAGCAATATCACGGCGGGGGACACCAGAATGCTCGGCATTAAGGGGGGAAAACAAGGAGTCGGAGTCAGTATACTGTGTCTGAGTGGAGTATTCGTGTTAAACTGCGGCATGGTATGTCAGTGTGCTAGCACTATTAAACCAGCATTACTCGGGACTTACACACACACACACACACACACACACACACACACACACACACACACACACACACGTCGCTATATAAGAGCAATATTCCTTTTAGCGACCCATTTCACCTGACCTCACCTCCTATCTAAGTGGTTGTTCTGGGTTTAAATGTCGACACACAGGTCATATTCACCATGTAACACTCCAGACAGGAACTAAGGGCAAAAGGGGAACATTTAATTTTCCAAAGCCGTATTTTTTGTAATTCATTTGGCTATATTACTTCTTTTATCAGGAGACCCAATGTACTTTTTCTGACACTTCGATCGGCGAGCGGCACTCGAGGCCGTGGTTTGTTCACGACTTAGACATATAATCCTAGCAATGTCTTCCTCAGGCCTCTGCACTCAACGATTACCTTACATTAGCCGAAAACCACACATTAAAATGCGGATTTATTTTTGTGTCATGAAATTTGTACTCGTTACTCCCGCATAGTGTTTAAGTTTTTCTCTGTCGAAATTAAATGTTCGTGTACACTTACTCGCAGCTTGGTCTCGAGAACGTCTCCACTCTCAGGAATTCCTGGCTATGTATTTTATCCCAACCCTTATCACGCCGTGCTTTATACAACGTAAAACAACTGATTAAATCCGGGGTTTATGATGCGTCGATATACCAGTGTAAGCTGAAGTCCGGCTTATTGTGTGAATGCAAATAACACAAAAGATGAGGACTAATTAGTAAACGCACATGAGTCATGATCTTGTAAGACAAACGACATATTTCAATGCAATTAAATGTTAAATTATTCCAGAAATGAACGAAAAGCAAACGTCTTATAATAGGTGACCCACTGACAATAACAGAAATAACACTTCACGGCGCCATTTATCAGCATTCATGGCCGAAATAACTTCAGTTGATCTCTTCACGGACAGCAAGACCTGTGACTATTTGAACCAAGCAAACACGAGTGACGAGTATTTGATAGACCATATTGGAATGCGACGGAAAAGACAGGCACGCTGCGAGTTGGAGTGGACCCTGGCTTTAATGAAGGTCTAGGTCATTTAGTAAACTTTGTCAATACTCTAAATTTAATTTTTATGGCATCCTGTATTTGTTTGTTTGTTGTGTAACGCCGCACGCAGCTATATTCCAGCTGTATGGCGGCGGTCTGTAACTAATCGAGTCTGGACCAGACAATCAAGTGATTGATATCATGAGCATACGATTCCATGCATCAACAAAGTCAGCGAGCCTGACCACCCGATCCCGTTAGTCGCCCATTACGACAAGCATGGGTTGCTTGATGACCTATTCCAACCCGGATCTTCTCGGGTATGGTAACCTGTGTGAAAGGTATGCCCGTATTAAGATTTACTGTAGTCCTGGATAGACAAGACACAAAGACTATTTCAATCACATGTGGGAACATATATAGAGTGAGTGAGTAAATGTTGTTTTACGCCGCAATCATCAATTTTCCACAAGAACATCCCGGCGACCCGTAAATGACAGTGTCTGAGTCAGGCAAACGGGTTAACATCATCAGAAACTACCCTCGCCGTCGGGGCACGCTGACACTTTCCTGTCACACATTGTACCCACCTGATCTTCATTACTTGACTCACCGTTGAATTGAATTGCGAGGATCGATGCTCATGATGTCAGTCACTGGGTTGTCAGGTCCAGACTCGATTATTTACAGACGGCCGTTATAGAGCTGGAATATTGCTGAGTGCGGCGTTAAACAACAAAACAAGAACTTGACACACAGACAAGCAGTCATCTTCCCAAGGCAACTGAGGTAACTGCCTATAAAAGTCCATTTTCCAACCTTGCCGAACAAGGCTTGAATTTCTCGAATTTCTCGATCGTAGCGCCACCAGTGGCCATGACGAGTGATGTCCCTTCTATGGTGTTAGTGAAGACGATCTGATCCAAACCCAAGATCTATATCGTATTAAAACGGGGTTTACCTTGCGAAGTGCATCAAATCGCGTCAGCACCTTGATTAAAAACATGAAATGATTTGGAAAATATCTGTTGACGTCCAGTTGGCGGTGCACATGCTTTGCAAATCCTGTGAAATCTGCACGGCAGGCTCCAAACCGGATGTCGATTTCGTTACGCGATCTTGATTGGACTATACATAGACTCGTTATTCCAGCAGCGAATTTCCAGCCTAGTTCGGCAAGGAGGGAGACTGGACTTTTATATTCAGTTAACTTCCTTGCCTCGGGGAGATGACAAGCAGTCGGTTATAACAATTTCACTTCCCTCTAGAGAGTGAGTGAGGCAGGCCGCTGTGATCACTATAACGATGGGGAAACCAGAAAAAAGCCCTGGGAGAGGTTATCATTGTTACTGTTAATATGAAATAAAAAAAATAAAATAAAAAAAACACCAAAAAACGAATAAACTTTTAGAGTCACTTGGTGTTCGTTATATCCAGAGTTAAAGACGTTATATATGTTGAAGATGACGCAATGATGACGCTGTACATCATGCATGAAAAACCTCGAACTTCAGATCACAGTGACTTTGATTATCACCTGATTGTATGTATAATGATTTACATTGCACAATAATGCGGTCGGGCTAATATCTGACGATATTTGTAAAATGGTGTTGAGTGAGTGAGTGAGTTTGGTTTAACGCCGCTTTTAACAGTATTCCAGTTATATCGCGGCGTGTCAGTTTAATGTGGGAGGAAAGCCCGAAGTGATGCAGGTCTCAGACGTTTACCACTTCGGTGAAACCCACGAGCACGGGTATGGTGCTAACAAACCTAGAAACATAATCGGGGCGAACCGGGATTTGAACCCACAATCATAGGTTTCTCGCGTGCCCAAGGGACGCAACTCTGCACAGAGAATCGCGGCGCCTTAGACGACTGGGCCACCCGTGCCCCCTAAAATGGTGTTGATATACCCCTACAAGAATTAAAGGTTATTTATGTCTCAGCATTGATTTTAAATTTTATGGAACCTTTGGGAAATCAAGCTCCTCCACATTTTCCGGAAAGCCGCATAACAATGAACGGCACGTGTGACTAAAATATAACGGCTTAGCGACTCGTCTGGGAATAAGCTGTAAAAAATCATAGTATGATTACTGACGTTTAAATTGGCCAGATTTGACATGATGTAGTTGAGTTAGGCATTCTAGCATGTTTATTGCGATGCTTAATGTGTGCATTTGTATCTGATGTAAGACTCAGTTGATGCTTTACAGCCCCGGGGGTCTCCTCCCACATCATGAGTCCCAAGGTCATCGGCAGGGGGTCAAGGATCAACATCGACAACTCGTGTGAATTTCTCCAAGGTCACGACCAGAGACTGTACACCTTCATCAAGAGACGCAGTAAGTAGTGTGTGTGTGTGAGTGTATGTGTGTGTGTGTGGTGGTGTGTGTGTGTGTGTGGTGTGGTGTGTGTGTATGTGTGTATGTATGTGTGTGTGTGGTGTGTGTGTTTGTGTGTGGTGTGATGTGAGTGTGGTGTGGTGTGGTGTGTGTGTGTGTGGTGTATGTATGTGTGTGTCTGTGATGGGTGTGTGTGTATGTGTGTGTGTGATGTATGTTTGGTGTGTGTGTGTCTGGTGTGCGTGGTGGTGTGTGTGTGGTGTATGTGTCTGTGGTGTGGTGTATGTGTGTGTCTGTGGTGTGTGTGTGTGGTGTGTGTGTCTGTGGTGGTGGTGTGTGTGTGTGGTGTATGTGTCTGTGGTGTGGTGTGTGTGTGTGTGTCTGTGGTGTGGTGTGGTGTGTGTATGTGGTGTGTGTGTGTGTGGTGTAAGTGTGTGTCTGTGGTGTGGTGTGTGTGTATGTGTGTGTGTGTGTCTGTGGTGGTGTGTGTGTGTGTGGTGTATGTATCTGTGGTGTGGTGTGGTGTATGTGTGTGTCTGTGGTGTGTGTGTGGTGTCTGTGGTGTGCGTGGTGGTGTGTGTGTGTGTGGTGTATGTGTCTGTGGTGTGTGTGGTGTATGTGTGGTGTGTGTCTGTGGTGTGGTGGGTGTGTGTGGTGTGTGGGTGTGTGTGCGTGCGTGCGTGCGTGCGTGCGTGCGTGCGTGCGTGCGTGTGCGTGTGTGTGTGTGTGTGTGTGTGTGTGTGGCTGTGACATTGATGTCCCAGCTTATAAAGTCTGTATCTTATTACAGTCTAACCCTTTCAATCCGGAAAGTAATGGGGCAGTAATCATGATTTGCAAATGCGGGCATAAGTTAAATTGGGAACGCCACTGTCTAGATTAACAAGGTTTCATTGCATATGTTACTTTGGTTTGACTGCAAATATTGTTTGAGTCCGCAATAGCTCCCAGGTGTAATAATACGCCTTGTGCTTCCTGCTCCTCAACGACAAACTAATGTTCATCTTGGAAACGGAAGACAGGCAGGACTGGAAAACCCAATTTCATGCAGGTGGTGAAACGCCAAGGTTGTACAGGACAAGACATAACAATGTCGTGCAGGTGATGACACACCAAGGTCGTACAGGACAGTTAAACGTGAATGTCGTGCAGGTGATGACACACCAAGGTCGTGCAGGACAGTTACACGTGAATGTCGTGCAGTCCATGAAACGCCAAAGTCGTGCAGATGATGACACGCCAAGGTCGTACAGGACAGTTACACGTGAATGTCGTTCAGGTGATGACACACCAAGGTCGTACAGGACAGTTACACGTGAATGTCGTGCAGATGATGACACCCCAAGGTCGTGCAGGTGATGACACGCCAAGGTCGTACAGGACAGTTACACGTGAATGTCGTTCAGGTGATGACACACCAAGGTCGTACAGGACAGTTACACGTGAATGTCGTGCAGTCCATGAAACGCCAATGTCGTGCAGGACAAGACATATGAATGTCGTGCAGATGATGACACCCCAAGGTCGTGCAGGTGATGACACACCAAAGTCGTGCAGGACAGTTACATTTGAATGTCGTGCAGCGGCTGAAACACCAAGGTCGTGCAGGTGATGACACGCCAATGTCGTACAGGACAGTTACACGTGAATGTCGTTCAGGTGATGACACACCAAGGTCGTACAGGACAGTTACACGTGAATGTCGTGCAGTCCATGAAACGCCAATGTCGTGCAGGACAAGACATATGAATGTCGTGCAGATGATGACACCCCAAGGTCGTGCAGGTGATGACACGCCAAGGTCGTGCAGGACAGTTACATTTGAATGTCGTGCAGCGGCTGAAACACCAAGGTCGTGCAGGTGATGACACGCCAATGTCGTACAGGACAGTTACACGTGAATGTCGGTCAGGTTATAAAACGCCAAAGTCGTGCAGGACAGTTAGACGTGAATGTCGGTCAGGTTATAAAACGCCAAAGTCGTGCAGGACAGTTACATTTGAATGTCGTGCAGTCTCTGAAACACCAAGGTCGTGCAGGTGATGACACGTCAAGGTCGTGCAGGACAGTTACACGTGAATGCCGTGCAGTCCGTGAAACGCCAGGGTCGTGCAGGAGAGTTACACGTGAATGTCATTCAGTACTTGAAACGCCAAGGTCGTGCAGGAGAGTTACACGTGAATGTCGTGCAGTCGCTGAAACACCAAGGTCGTGCAGGACAGTTACACATGCAGATGCATGCCATCGTATCCCTATAACGTGGATCGATGCTCATGATATCAATCACTGGATTGTCTGGTCCAGACTCGATTATTTACAGACCACTTCATATATATAGCTGGAATATTGATGAGCGCGGCGTCAAACAACAAACAAACACATTTACATGCATAATCTGGCCACAATTGTTTTTGTTTCATTTTGGAAGCAGCCTACCTTAAATCAATGTGCCGCTTTGTTTGTGCTTTTGTAAAACCGTTTTACTCAACTCAAAGAGTAATTTCAGGAAATAAACCCCAGATCAAGCTTGACAATATGTTAGCTTGTTAAATATTTGCCTCCTGTGCCTTGGCACAATGAACAAAAACACCCTGAAGCAGGTCATTCAATATTGGTCTGGTCGCATTTAAACATCATTCTGACAAAAAACATTTACGTTCGCGCTATTCAATTAGCATTTCACGGTCAGTAATAGCCTGATACACTGTCACCATGCAATTGGCATAAAGACAGAAAATCGACTCTTGTCACGTTCCGCCTTACCTAATTTGTTAACTGTAGTCAAACTAACAACGGCGCGGAGAGAAGTCCGCCACGACTATCATCATTGGTTTGTCAGCACGATGCCTGCAATACATTGTTCTCTCTGAAAGGAGGTGCCGTTCGGTACAAATTCATGTTGTCTCATTTCAGGATATTCAGCGTATCAAAAGACAAAATTAAGGATTGGAAAAAACATCGGGCAAAATTGTTTGCCCCCAATCCTATCCTCGAATGGTCTATCTCTAACTACTCGACACTCTTGACTAATAGTATATACATTGTCTCGATACACCGATACCGTGACTAGATACATTACATCGATACACCGATACTCGTGACTAGGTACATTGTCTCGATACTCCGATACCGTGACGAAATAAACTGAACAACAATGTTCCTGTGACATTGAATAAGATTTAATGCAAAGTTATGTGTTTTTAACCAAATCTGAAACAATTTCGGTTTGCAACAGATAAAAGACTCCTGTAAGTGTTCAAATAGTTTAATTTGCCATACTGACTTCAGAAAATGCGTGATTTCATAAAAAAAACCATGAACATGCAAAAATGTCAATTTACAAATCAATAGCGTGTGTGTCCACCTCTGGTTGCGATGCATGGAATGGACCAGGCATCGCACAAAGTCCTGTGGGATATCTATCCATATCTGCTTGAGCATGTTTCGAAGTTCCTGGAGTGTCTGTGGAACAAGAGGTTGACGTCAAAGGCGCCGATCAATCTCATCCCACATGTGCTCGATTAGTGAGAGATCAGGGTAGCGAGCCGGCCAGTGGTGGACATTCACGTTGTTTTGTTGAAGGGAATCCTGAACCAGTCGAGCAATATGAGGCCGGGCGTTGTCATGTTGAAAGGTAATGCCTGGGCCATGACGACGCAAAACCGGTAGAATAACAGGACCGATGATCTCGTCGCGGTAGCGCTGTCCATTGAGATTTCCCTCCGACACTATCTATCAAACGGGTCCTCTGTCTTGCTGTAATCCCAACCCCATACCATAACGCTGCCGCCCCCGAACCGATCTTCTTCCATGTAACAATGATTGACGTAACGTTCACTTCGACGTCGGTACACTCTTATCCGTCCATCGCTGTGGCTGAGGTGAAAAAGAGACTCGTCAGTGAATAGAACTTGTCCCCACTGCATGGCCGTTCAGCGTAGACGCTGTCTGCACTACTGTAAATGTGCTTGACGGTGGTTTTCTGTCAAAATGGGACGTTTGGCGGGTCCTCTGGCGACAATCCCTGCACATCTGAGGCGACGACGTACGGTTTGTGAAGATATTCGTCGAAGGCCAGGGATGCTTCTTGCAGTCACTCTTGCTGGCTTGAATCGATTTCGTAGGTGTGTTGTTCGAATCCAGTTGTCTTGTCGATTATTGGTTACGCGTGGCCTGCCGCTCCGAGGATGGTCTCTGACTGCATTCGCCTGTAGCCAACGTTGCCATAAACACCAAACGGTGTTTCTGTGGACATTAAATTGTCTTGCAACATCACGTTGACTCGATCCTGCTTCAAGCATACCAATGGTTCGCAGAAGCTCTTTTTCAGACAGGCATGGCATTTCGTAAAGTTAAATAATTGCGTAATTTTGTTGTTTTTCTGAGTGGTTGTTGTCAGAACGATGCTAAACAATGCATATGGATCCCGTTACCGCACATGTTTTTATACCCATTTTTGGTTAGTGAAATGCACGGGGCTTGCATAGAAGTCAACTTTTGCATGGAATGCATGCTGTTCTGTAACAGTTGCGTTTTTGTGACTTGATTCCATATATGTACTACAATATTGAAAACCAAACTTTACTTATTTGAAAAAAACACTAAAATATTGGTGTCACAGGAACTTTTGTTGTTGAGTATACATTGTCTCGATACACCGATACTCGTGACTCGATACATTGTCTCGATACACCCACACCGTGACTAGATACATTTTCTCGATACACCGATACCGTGACTAGATACATCTTCTCGATACACCGATACCGTGACTAGATACATTGTCTCGATACGCCGATACCGTGACTAGATACACCGATACCGTGACTAGATACATTGTCTCGATACACCAATACTTGTGACTAGATACATTGTCTCGATACACCGATACTCGTCACTGGATCCATTTTCTCGATACACCGATACCGTGACTAGATACATTGTCTCGATACACCGATACTCTTCACTGGATCCATTGTATCGATACACCGATACCGTCACTGGATCCATTGTATCGATACACTGATTCTGCAGTGAAGCATTATAGTAACAGTACAGCCCAAACAAGAATTATACTGACCACGAAATCTCTATCCATTTGCCAAGAACATCTTTAAAAAAACTCAAATGTTAACATGCTGTCAAATTGATATACTTAAAGGGCACGGAGCCAACATTGGAGGATATTGCCAATTTCCCCCGTTCCGAGATGAGATAGCTAAACACTAACATCCACATGGCGCAGTTAGATACTGAGTAAGATGCGCTTGTGATATTCAACTCGTATGCCACTTAATGTCACAGATGATTCAAGCTCATTTAAAGTTACGCATCCCATCCACCGTAACTATACTTAAACACGAAAGATACGCAACATAACTGCAAGTAGTTTAATGACACTGAAAATCAATGTCCCCACAGTTATTACTCGCTGTGCAGAGTTGCGCCCCTTGGGCACGCCAGAATCCTATGATTATGGGTTCGAATCCCGGTTCGCCCCGATTATGTTTGTCAGCACCATACCCGTGCTCGTGGGTTTCACCGATATGGTAAACGTCTGAGACCTGCATCACTTCGGGCTTTCCTCCCACATAAAGCTGACACGCCGCGATATATCTGGAATAATGTTAAATGCGGCGTTAAACCCAACTCACTCACTCACTCACAGTTACTACAGGACAAACACTAAAGCACACACACCAGTACAGGTATTGCTAACGGAGTTCCTGTAGCGGTGACGTCTTCAACGTCTTCACATCAATTGTGAACGAACCACGTGAACTGTGACTGGTTGACTGGTTGACGTGATCTGGATCGGTGTCAATCTGACAGGGTGATGTTTTGTGGTGTGAAACATAGATGCAATCGAAGATGAATATCATTTTTCTGCTGATATGTCTCAAACACAGGTTTAGTAGTTATTTTTGTGGGAGACTCCAAATGAAGCCCAATGAGTTTCACAAACCAAAGCCCAACTCTAACAGCAGGCTATGTACATTGCTAACGTTATAAAGGAAAATATGTATACTCCATATTAAACTGCCCATGTCTTCTTATGAATGAACCTATATTCTTGAGTCCGTCCATACATTTATATTTCTCATCTCCAACCTCAGCCAACAAGAAAGCGGGCGGGCGAAATAAAAATAAAATAAAAATAACTTACTGTGTAACTTAAAGTTTAAACACTTGGAAGTAGTCAATCAATTAATTTATGACGTCCACCTTATTTTTCATGATTGTGTAATAGTAGTATTTTTTAATCACATGGGGCATAATTTTCCACAGCGGCGGGGAAAATTGCGATACAAAAACCTTTTATTAATTGACTTCGTAATGAAAATTCGGGAATGGCGGCAGATGGGAAACTGCCGAAACTACGGACAGCCTTATGTACCTACGATATCAATGATGGCGCGGTGATTGTCTTTGGCTTCATTGATACAACCTTTGGCTCAACTGGACTTACCTTAATTCAGATATGACTCTGGGATGCCCTTAGCAACAACATCTACGGATCATCAATTCCAGATAAACCCATGATCATCCTTGGCTTGTCAGCACTGTCTTTGTGCTCCCGTGTTCATACCGAAGTGGCAAAAGTCTGCGACCTGCGTCAATTCGTGCTTCCTTGCACGCACGTTATTATAACTAAAACACTGTTAAAGCAGTGTTACATCAAACTCACCTATTGGTATTTTGCCCCTTGGTTGATTGCACAGCTAATACCCAGTGTGTGACTCATGTATCAGAATGGTATAGCAAGTCGTTAAGCAAATGTCCAATTGCACCAAGGTACTAGATAAGCGTTTTCTGTGCTTGTAGAAGTTAGTTCCTTAGTCGCCCAAGTTCGTTGTCAGCCTCTCGGTAGCCCCTCCATCTCCCCCAAGCTCCTTCCCAGCGCGTGACACCTTCGTTACACTCTCGGTAACATCGCTGCCACCAGTGTGGAAGCGGCCATTACAAGAATCTTGAAATTTGCCCTCTAACCCCTAATGTAGTAACGTTCATACTTTTGTTTATGTGTTTGGGAATGCCATCATAGTTCATTTTGAAAAGGTTTATGACTGACCATATTTTCCAGATGAATTTACTTTGTTGTTTTAATAATCAGATTGGTTCGAGGTTGCAGACTAACGGAAAATCAAATAACTTCTCCCTTACATTCTTACTTTATCAATTACATGATAGTTTTAATGAAACAGAAATTCAAATTGACAAACAAAGAAAGTAATTTAGCAGGGATAAGTGTATTCGGCGTCATGACAGTCGTCACTTGTTTGTAAACATAACGGTCAATCGCCTGAGAGTTCAACTCCAAGTGTGGTTGTTGTCATCTATCACTGTGGGGAGTTTTGACTGGTGGCAGCGATAGTATAGAGAGCTCCGCGAACGGGCTATCGCTGCGAGGAGCTTGCGTCTCCCCGAAGCCAGGGAGGTAACTGACTATAAAAGTCCTGTTTTTACGCTTGCCGACCAAAGCCGGAATTTCGAGGTGCTCGATCGTAGCACCTCGAGTGGCTTTTACGAGTTATGTCCCTGCGATGTCCCTCCTATTGACCAATCAGATTCCTCCCCTCACATCACTTGCATATGCTTCAACTAAAATGGCGGCGCCCAGTCAAGATGATCTGATTAATAATCAAGATCTATGTTGTAATAAAACAGGTCTTAGCTCACGAAGTGCATTAAATCAATTGAGCACTTTGTTTAAAACCATGAAAATATTTGGGAAATTTACGTCGGCACCCTGTACACATGTTTTGTAAATCTTGCCGTCGACCGACATCTGCACGGCAGTCGCCATGTTGTTTACGAACTGGATGTCAATTTTGAAAGGCGATTTTAATTGGACTAGGCATAGACTCGTTAGTCCAGCCAAAACTTTACACCATAATTCCAGCCTTGTGTGGCGAGGGTGGAAAGTGGACGTTCATAGTCAGTTAACTCCCTTGCCTCAGGAAGATGTACCCCCTCTTCCTGCTAGGTGTGGATGTGTCCAGTTGGACACGTTTTGCTCCGTCAACACCTTCAATTCTTCTTTTAACTTGAATAAACTGGTACTGGTAGATGGTCCAGTGGGGTTGAGACGATTGTGAAGGCCTTTACCGGTGTTGTTGACGTGGTCCTTGGGTTGTATGGTGGCTCCACAGTGCCAACGGGAATCGTGTGTCAAAGTCTGTCAAGATGATAACCATGTAGTAACGGAAGTTGTCTACACTGTTGACTTCTGAGGCCTGTTCCATGATCTCCAGCCTCAACGACTGGGGCTTGGGAACGAAGGGCTATGGCTGCTGCTCGCCGGAACAAGTGCTGTCTTACTATATACTGCAGGGTCTTCTACCTCCCTCCATAGGACTTGGCAATAATGATTAAAATAGGGTTTGACTTAAGCTCTGATAACTGCGAGTTCAAAGTCTGTCTGGATCTTTGCTGGTGCCAGTGGTCGATGACGTTTCTGCTGGACTGTTTCTTTCAGTAGGCGGAAAGGTCTTGTATTGGTTGTCATCTGGCGATCAGGGAGACTTTGGGGGTTGACTAGGGGGCGGCGGATTCTCGTCTCGTGGATGATGTGCCATTGTTCCCAGGTGACTGGAGAGGAGTCAGTGACGATGCTGACTGCAGGCTCCCAAATATGCACTGGTACTGAAAGCAAGGGTATGACCGCATCAACGTCGTCAAAGAGAAGGAAGGTCGAACCTCCGATGTTGTTGTCCAATTGTCATCCAGATTGACTTCATATCTTCTCAAGGCGATTATGCTTGTCGTAAAAGGCGACTAACGGGATCGCGTGGTCAGGCTCACTGACTTGGCTGATACATGTCATTGATCCCAATTGCGTGGATTGATGCTCATGATATTAATCACTAGATTGTCTGGTCCAGACTCGATTATTTACAGACCGCCGTCATATGGCTGAATATTGCTGAGTGCGGCGTTACACAACAAACCAACCAACCAATCTGGGTACTGGCATATTGTTCCACCGACGTCTGTAGATGTCACTCTGCATGTTGTAAAAAAGGGCAAGATCATCTCCTTGGTGATTTGGTCGTTGTAAATCGACTGCCTTGGGGTAGTCTCTTCGGTGCCGATGAACTTCTTCTCTTCTCGGACATAACTGTGAACTTTGCGGGTTACATCTGTCTGTGTGGAGCCAAGTTCCGATGTCCTCCTGTCGTGATAAGGTTGGATAACACTCAGTCAGTCGTGTACTTAGTGTGGGAATCTCGATATATATATATATCCTATTGTTGGTCTTAGGACGGGACTATTATACAATTAGGCCGGTTTCAGGTGATTGATTGCGGGTGGGGTGATTGATTGCGTCATCGTCCCCCGGTGACGCGAATGGCCGCTTGTGTTTTAAGTGACTGTTTTTTTCTGGTCTGGATTCGATTTGTTTTTTGTGCCGTTTTTCAGATGAGTATTCCTCGGTGCGGCGTAAAACAACAATGACTAACTCATCCATTTCTTTACATTCTAATTTTCGATATTTCGTTTGCATTAACTTATTATCATAAAGTTCTATACATCCGTTTCGACTCCCAATACTATGCTGCTATTTCGAACACCTCCAAACAACCACGATAACTAGTGATCAGTCATCTGTGTCTAGGTCCCGGATGTAAGTTTCCCTCCAAATTGCTCGGCGACTGGAACTACACATACAGACATGCGCACCACCTGACGTTCGCCCAAAGCAACCTGACGCTCCAGCTCCTGAACGGCGAACGCTACATCTTCTACTGTGATTCGCGGGACAGGGACAATTTCGTCATCAGGTGGGTTCCGTATTTGGTCATGGGGTGGACAGGCGCGGTGACGTAGTTGACAGCGTGTCCTGACTGCGTGTTCTGACTGCATGTTCTGACTGCGTGTCACCGTACCTCCCATTATTAAACAGGCCACCGTGATACAACTGGAATATTGTTCAGTGCCGCTTAAACCATTCACTGCGAAAGCAGAGCTGGTTTGTCTCCTCCAGACTCTATCATTTACATGCTGCCGTAGTATAAACGAAAATATACACCCATGTTTGATGCTGGCTGGAAATGAAACAAACAAGAAATGGTTATTCGATTAAGATGTATTGACTACGAGTATCATAGTTGTGTTTTGGACCTTAGTGAGTGAGTGAGTATAGTTTTACTGCACAATATTCCAGCAATATCACGACGGGGGACACCAGAAATGGTGTACCTATGTCGGGAATCGAACCCGGGTCTTCGGCGTGATGAGCGAACGCTTTAACCACTAGGCTACCGACCGCCCCGGTTTTGGACCTTAAGTTTGTTGTGTTTCGCCGAATGTCAGCCTTTGATAACGTTTGAAAGTCTAGTCAAACCCTATTTTCAAGTGTATACTTTGTTTCGTTGTCTGTTGAGCTGGAATATTGAAGAATACGGCATTAAACATTAAACAAGGTAAAACCAGTGGTCAATAGTGTGAGCAAAATCCAGTTGCTATTTATATATGTCCGATCCACATTTCAGTTAGGAGCTTTTCATCAGTTTTTGAGGCGATGTTCCATGCCGTGTTTATATAAACGTTGGATGTAACAACAGACTTGTGATCACAGTTATGACCTGTTCAACTTTATTTCAGAAATGTTGGCTACAGAGGTACCGACAGGGACGCCATCATGTGCATGAGACTCGACCCCTTGGAGGAGGACCCCTTCTACGACTTCCAGCTCTCCAGAACCAACAGTGGGTTACCATAGCAACATAATATTCATAAACATGTTTCTGTTTGTTTGTTGTTTAACGCCGCACTCAGCTATATGACGTCGCTAATATTCCAGCTATATGACGGCGGTCTGTAACATATCGAGACTGGACCACACAATCCAATGATTGATTTCATGAGCATCGATCTACGCAATTGGGATACGATGACATGCATCAAAAAAGTCAGCGAGCCTGACCACCTGATCCCGTTAGTCGCCTCTTATTAACGCCGATTATTGCAGATTATTGCGACGTTGTACTAGTCCGGACAAACGCCGATGCTTCAGTGCTAGCCCACTGAGATATCATACCGCAGTTTAACATTGATGCCCCACTCAGACACAGTATACTATCTCCCAGCTGACCTTGTTTTAGCCCCTTAATGCCGAGCGCCAAACAGGGTAACAACAAGTACCATCTTTTAACGTCTTTTACTATGACACAACCGGGGATAGAACCCCGACCTTCCGCTCTCACGGAGGCGGTCTTTATACGTAAAACCGAAATGAACTGACAGGAATAGGTCTAGAAGAATAGACTAAATAATGTTTGTATAATTAGGAGTGACATACTCCTAGATGCCCTATGGGGATTCTGGGTGAGAAACGGCCCCCTACCCTGGTCGTAAGAGGCAACCGAAACGATCGGGTGGTCCGGCTTGATGACATGGCTGCTTGCGTGTCACAGATGGTGTGTTGTTGCACACTATCAATCACTGGATTGTCAGGTCCAAACTCGATTATTTACAGGCCGCCGTTATACAGCTGGATACTGTGCGACGTAAAGCAGTAAACAAACAAACAAGCAAACAAACAAACATACTGTTAGACAACTACAAAGTCTAAATCATATGGTCGTGTGAGGATGGTCATCTTCCCGAGGCAAATGAGTTAACTGACGAAACTGGACTTTTAAATTAAGTCTTGCCTCGGGAAGATGGAGGATGGTAGGTTTTTCGATTGTATAAAGGAACGTGTTGTGTATTGTACGTCCGCTTCTTGTGCATTACGCATCTGTCTCAACAGAATCACAACTCGACCTTTTCTGTAACCTGTACGAATAGGCTCACTAGTGGACACGAGTCGACATGAATGTTTGTGTCGGTGTTCCATTTGGCCAACTCGTCATTCCGGGAAAAGCCGAATCTTCTTGCAGGTTACTGATTGGGGAGGTTGTGACGAAAAACGGTGTTCAAGGGAATCGTCTTTTGGCTGTTCCCCATTTTCGTGTGGGATATCAATGTTAAGGTCTGCCGACAAGCATGTATTAAGCATGGACAGTCAGTCAGTCTTTACGCCGCTTTTAGCAATATTCCAGCAATATCACGACGGGGGACACCAGAAAGGGGTTGTACCCATGTATGGAATCGAACCCGGGTCTTCGGCGTAACGAGCGAACGCTTTAACCACTAGGCTACCCCACCGCCCCTTAGCATGGAAAGAATATGGCATTATATTTATGAGTCAAAGCCCCTCGACACAACAAATGATCGAGATCAGTGAAAATACAAATTTAAAAGATGAAACTAAATACAGTAATGTACGGTTATAACGAACTCAAAGGGACCACTGATATTAGTTCGATATAACCGTAGTTCGTGATAAGCATATAAACCGCATATATACAGCAAATGGCCGGGACAAAAAAAAGTTCGATATATCCGTCAGTTCGTCATAAGCGTGTTCATTATAAACGTAGTTTACTGTAGTTATGGCAATTTTTACAAAATCCCAAACAAAATTATTTCATTGTGTTATATGGTTGACGTTTTGCGAGTTTACTGTTATTTGGATGGCACAGCGGGGTGTGTAAGGGTACACCTAGTGGAGGAGTGAGAGGCACGTGGTCACACGTGTGCAGATGAAGCAAAGCAGCGTCGGTTGCGGAGAGTAATTGTATGGGTGATCATGTTGGGCAGCTTGACCCCTGATGGTTTCTTGGGCTTCTGTCCTGCCCCACACTGAAGCACACGTAACGCATGTGGTGTCTCTTTGGGCTGGTGACGTAATATGCCTGTGTTCACCCAACAGTGGATGGGTACCCGGTAGGAGGATCTGGTAATAAGACTTTTAACTTTCTTGGCATCACAGGCTATTTGGGTTATATACTCCCCATGGCGACGAGAATGAAACTCGACTGCACGCTGATCCAGTGACCTGGGTAACAATGAGATCTGCCATGGCCAGGTCACATAGGTATGCCACTTATGTTAAATCAACAGATTAAACGTAGGATCATAATCGAAAAATGATCCTCGGATCATGGCACGGATAAGGGACGCAACTCTACACAGCGGAATGAGACGCCTTTGTCACATTTATGTGAACGTAATAATATGAAGTCAGATATGTCTACGGGGGCGGTCGCCACGCCAAAGACCCGGTTTCGATTCCCGACATGGGGACAATGTGTGAAGCTCATTTCTGGTGTCCCCCGCCTTGATATTGCTGGAATATTGCTAAAAGCGGCGTAAAACCATACTTACTCACTCACTCTTACTGTCTACAGGTGGGGCAGAGATGGACGGGAAGCTGATGCTGGTTGAACGCGGGAAGCGCGTGCTGCTGCACACGGACTGTGATTGGCTGGATAGTCCCGCCAGACCGGAATATATCTACCCCTTATAAGGACAGAAGGACATGGACAATTTGGCGTGGATTGATCAGGCGGATAGTGTCACACACAAGACAGGAGACACACATCAACCTGAGCGTGATTTGGAGATGAACTGTCCTGTGTCTCTGACGGACGTATATGTATGATGCAAACTGACTGCAGCTTACTTTGTAAACACTGACTGTCACGTGAAATAGTTGCTGTAAATACCGCTGTGAACACAACACATTCATACTTAACTCATTGATATCCGCGAACAAAGGGATGTCAACAAAGGTAGACAAGTATGAAAGAAAGCACAGGGACTTGTTCGAGTCCGTGTTTCACATCCTTTTATCATGTCACTGTCACATATTCATATTCGGGAATATAACATTTTATGCAATGTGGAGGCTAGTTATGTATAGTACAGGTACGTCACGTTGTTTTGTTTTTGTTTGAATGCTGTGGCATAACTTGTTTCCAGGAGTTTTTCAGACTGTACATTATAGCAGTAGATGTGTGTTATGATCCCGTTATGATTGTCTTTCTGTTCTTTACTTAGCATTTTGTATATTGGCACATGATTTGTAGGCGTTTGTAAATATTACTGTCATGTTCAATTTGTAGAAATATACAGAAATGTTAATTGAATAAAGAAAAATAAAGCGGTATTTGTTGTTCAGAAATATTAGGATAGGTGGACATAACATTTTGACCTGCTGTGGTGACACATGAATGGCGTATCCCATTCATGACCAACTCGTGTTATTCCGGGACAACGGAAAGGGGCGAGTGGTAACGAATGGGCATTTCCGTGGGTACGATACACGGGAGGACATTACAACAGCTCTGGAATCGTAATAATGGTCCGCTTCTTGTATCCATTTTGCTGGTCGTAAAAGGTGACTACGCTTGTCGTAATAGGCGACTTACGGGATCAGGTGATCAGGCTCGCTGACTTGGTTGATGCATGTCATCGTATCCCGATTGCGTGGATCGATGCTCATGATGTCAAACACTGGATTGTCTGGTCCAGACGTAAACCAACAGATAAACAACCAAATAAACACAACTCTCCCTCACTGTTAAGAATCAGTTAGTTGGGCTGAACGTCCATTTGAGCAGAAAAACACAATGTGTAAGCTCAGTGTGTGAAGGAAGCCCAAAGTGATGCAGGCTTCTTGGGGAAACCATGGACCCTAAATCGTATAAGTGTCCACGGGGAAACCTACGGGCACGGACAATGGCGGAAGGTCATACCAGCTCTGCTGCTTCTATTTGAGTGAAGCAGTCAGTATTGCTCCAGCTGTATGACGGCGGTCTCTTAATAATCGTGTCCGGATCGGACAGAACAGTGGCTGATATCAAAAGCAACGATTCTGGTTTCATGCTATTGAGTGAAAAGTAAATATGTTGTCAGATACTTTCTAAGGGCTTGGGGGCGATGGGTAGTCTGTGAGTGAGTGAGTTGGGTTTAACGCCGCTTTTAACAGTACATGTATTCCAGTTATATCACGGCGTGTCAGCTTAATGTGGGAGGAAAGCCCGAAGTGATGCAGGTCTCAGACGTTTACCACATCGGTGAAACCCACGGGCACGGGTATGGTGCTGACAAACCAAGAAACATAATCGGGGCGAACCGGGATTCGAACTCACGATCATAGGTTTCTGGCGTGCCCAAGGGACGCAACTCTGCACACGGATTCGCGGCGCCTTAGACGACTGGGCCACCCGTGTCCCCTTTAAGTATGTGGAGTGTATCAGGGCTTAGGTTTGGGCGACGAGTGAGTGGATGTAGTTTTACGTCGTTTTTTGCAATATTCCAGCCATATCACGATGGGGAACACACGAATTGGAACTCAACTCCGGCCTTCGTCGAGACCGCCTCTAACAACTAGGCTTCCGCACATCACCCGCCTGTTGTTTGTAAAAATCAAATAACCCTCTGCTAATTTAATATATACCGTTAATTTACTCGGAAAAATAGGACTTCGGTCCGTTAGGCTATTTACAAAGCAATGTTTATCAAAATACTTGGATCCGTTAAACGATTTACAGAGCAATGTTTATCAAAACTGCTATGTATATATGATTCACTCGAAGTGTTCCTACGAAGTAGATCCAAATCAAGTGTATGATTGAGTAGCAATGAAATGAATCAACCGATCAGAACTCCTTGAGCCCCCACCTTATTCTCCTGATCTGGCTTCATGAAACTTCCATCGGTTCCCACACATGGGTACAATCTGTGAATCCCATTTCTTGTGTCCCCCGCCGTGATATTGCTGGAATATTGCTAAAAGCGGCATAAAACCAAACTCACTCACTGTTTCCACACACGAAGGAAGCTCAAGCCGAAACCCATTTCGACTCGAACGATGACGTCAGAGCAGCTGTTGGGAACTTTTTGACAGCCAGGAGAAGGATTTCTCGAAACTGGTATAAAATCCCTCCAACGTCGTTGGCAAAAGTGTATCGTGTAAATCACGTGTAACTACATCACATAATTCAATCTATGAATTACAAACTTTCCAAAGAAATAAAATCCTGACGTTCACGCTTCACAAGTATTTCAAAACTACACAAGACAGCACAACGAAAAACAGCTTACCCGAGGCAAAAGAGTTTACCGACTGTAAAAGTCCAATGTCCAGCCTGGCCGAACAAGACAGGAATTTCTGGGCTCCATCGTAGCGCCACCAGTGCGTATTATGAGTTATGTCCCTTCTATGTCTCTACTATTGACGAATCAGATTCCACCTCTCATATCACTTCCATTTACTTCAAACAGACTGGCGTCGCCCAGTGAAGACAATCTGATCGATAAAGTGTGTCTAATTTCGCGAAGTGCATCAAATCACGTGAGAATGTCAATTTCGTAGCGCAATTTGGATTGGACTATACATAGACTCGTTAGTCAAGCCAAAATATAACTCCATAATTCCAGCCTAGTTAGGCAAGGGTGGAAACTGGACTTTTATAGTCAGTTAACTCCCTTGCCTCGCGAAGATGTTGGAAAATTGTCATTGAAATATAGCCTATGTGTATTTTCAAGGCACGTGTCAAGCGTCGTTGCGCATCCAAAATGTAATTAGAACAGTCGATGACAGGGCAACCGTGTCCGGTAATATACCCGCACAGGCGAAGCTACAAATTCCTCAAGTAACAAGCTCAAAACAACGGATGCAGTTTGGGAAGGTCTTTATCAATCAACAACCGGCAGTAGAGCTACAAGAGTTACCCCCCTTTGTCAACTTTCTAAGAACAATCTTTCATTTCTTTCTTTCATTTGCGGTTATTATTACCTCTCTTTAAAAGAAAAATGAATTACTTTAATTAGATATGTAGAGGTTTTTTTAGGTGACAATTACAATGACATACAATGTAAGCTTTCCTGTGATTGACAGTTGAACAATAGGGATACGATGACATGCATCAACCAAGTCAGCAAGCCTGACGACCCAATCCCGTTAGTCACCTCTTACGTCAAGCATGCATGGGTTGCTGAAGACCTATTCTAACCCGGATCTTCACGGGGAACTTTTTATTGTTTGCATCAACTTTCCGTAATTTCGTGGGATGATTTAAAGAGCAACAACACTCCAACTTTGCGGATTCAAAAATTGCATATTATGGATTATAATTTCTAATGGTTTGTCTTGTGTTCAGCGCTGATTGGCATCTGATGATTACGCGGGCTGATTATAGCAGCGCCGGAGGGGCAACTGAGGGTTGGAGTATTATTAAACGAAGTAAGTGAGTATGGTTTTACGCCGCATTTAACAATATTCCAGCAGTATCACGGCGGGGGACACCAGAAATGGGCTTCACACATTGTACCCATGTCCGGAATCGAACCCGGGTCTTCCGCGTGACGAGCGAACGCTTTAACCACTAGGCTACCCGACCGCCCCTTTAATGAAGTAGTGCAGTGACGTCTTCATCAAAAGAAATAACAACGTGCAGTTTTACGAAGGGTCCTGTTGCGCCTTTGCAATTAAGTTCCGCTGGGTATTAAATTCCGAATGTAAGTTTCTTTACTCCCGAACTCGTCATGTTGTCATTGGCAAGCACTCGCTTAATAAAGGCGCGTCGCAGAATCAGTAGTTGAAATCCTCCATGTCTTCATCAATATTACAGTTTCTGATGCCACCTAAAGAATAACCATGTGTGCTGCGAATAGGTGGCGAACTAGGTGGGTTCGAATCTCGGACGGAACTCAACCCCAAAAAGTACGAGAATCTGTATTTTACTAAGAAAGTTTTATCCCAAATACAACATTTGTTACATTTGACCACTTTCTAAATGGCATTGTGTCTTCAACAACCATGTAGGTTTAAACGTTTCTATAATTATACCTATACATGTCATGTCCTAAGAATCTCGTGAATGTGAATTGACTGCCCCTGTATTTGAGTTGACAGAAAAACAGAGATTTTCGAGACGCTTCAATCACATGTGTCGATAAAAGGTGCCAACATCACACCCGGGTACACCCGGCTTCTAACAACATAATACCCCGGGTATCAACAGGGTAGTTATGTTGCGTGAATTTACTGTAATCACATAAATCCAAATCCCGCCGTATATAGTTCATACAACACGACAGCCGTTTTGAAGACGTGTTGATTGAGTTAACACTTTGATTTGAAGACAGAAGCAATATGGATTCCTGCCAGTACTTGCGACGAGGCGAGACGAGCGCCACTCTCATTCAAATCAGATCTCTACTCGGCCACAATACCTCTCTGCGTGAAGCTATGATGACTCCATTGATACTGACGATAGTTGAACCCTGGGCGACATGAACCCAGCTTAAATGAAGGATGCTAAGTTCTTGAAACAAGAAATGGATGTGTAAATCAACAGAACAATATACATGGTATAATGGCGCGATCGTTATCATTCATGGTCATAACAGGTTGAACTCTGTTTCCTTGAAAGTGTCTTCAGATCTTTACGCATTGAGGTGTAATATATAACATTTTAATGACATTGAGCCGAGTGTTTGTTGTTTGTTGTTTAACGCCGCACTCAGCAATATTCCAGCTATATGACGGCGATCATTAAATAATCGAGTCTGGACCAGACAATCCGGTGATTGATATCACGAGCATCGATCCACGCAATTGGGATCGATGACAACCAAGACAGCGAGCCTGACCACCCGATCCCGTTAGTCGCCTCTTACGACAAGCATGGGTTGCTTTGAGCGGAGTGGTATCTTTTGTTACAAGAGTTTCACAGTATCTTATGTTTATCACGCCGTGTCAGCTTGGTGTCGGAGGACAGCTCGAAGTAAACGCTTACCACCTTGGTGACACCATGCGTCTGATGTCGGCAAGGATGAAAATCATGGCGAATCTGGGAAAAAATCCAATATCAGCGTAAGCTAAGGGAAGCAACTCTACACAGCTTTCACTGCCTTAAACTGCAACTCATACTCCAGTCCTTTTGGTGAGTGTCAGGTGAAATGATGGTGATGATGATGATGATGATGCCTACAACGATGGGGTAAGGTTAAGTGAAATTGGGTTTAACGTCGTGTTAAGGATTATTTAACCCACATTGCGACGTGTGTGTCTGCTTGTACTAAACTGTCGGGCAAAAGAAATTGTACAATTGAATATTAGATTTGTCCAAAACATTACAAACGTTATCAAAACATTACTATCAAAAACAGTCAAAACAGTCGTCGAAACCCGGCAAACTTAATGTACAAAACACAACTATGAAACCTTTATGAAATACGTCACACCATTTTGTGTTTGTTTCATATTAGTTACCATCAAACATGGGTGTATACTTTCTTTCGCCCTGCAGTTAAGTCGGGAGTGTTGTCGTTTTCCTAGAGTGCCAGGCAGGGTAAAAATAACGTACCATCGTTTAACGTCTTTTGGTTTGACTCGGTTGGAGGATCAAACCACCGACTTTCTCTCTCAGTGCAGGCGCTTTATCAACTATACCCCGATGATACTGAATCAAAGCGGGACTAAGTATTTTTGACTTGTCACAGAAATATCACGTAACTAACTCAGTGTTTCAGGGCACAGGACAGTGTAGATCAACACACGACGCGAAAGCATTTCCAAGTACAATGCAAAGTGTATAAAACGAATAACATAATGCACACAATACACAATCACAAACAGCTGAGGATTGAGGATACGGTGGACAAAATGGTTGCCGAATGTAACCTACAAGGAATGTAGCTTGATTAGAGTTAGGATTACTCCTTAAACATCATTCAATCAATCACTCATTCATTCAATCGGGCAATCAAATATCGTCAAACACGAACACTGAAACTTCAACAAGGAATATAACGCTGCACCATCTGCAATGTATCGATAGTGTTCCATTGATCATCCATTGCTTTCATGTCTTCTGCGTTATCTTACGCCCGGATGTGTCGAAGTTACTCGGCAGTTCACGCCAAACTGTCAAAAGATCTCCCTATGAAAGACTTCTTCTGTTCTCTTTCGTGCTTCACAAACAAATTTGGGATCATGAATATTTAGTGGGTGTTTTCTATGAGCTTGTGTGCCCAGTCCTTACTACAAAAAATATCCCCCAAAATATTCATGATCCCTAGTTTTTTTTCAGTGAAGATATGCATAACTTCCACTTGGAAGCGACCTATCAGGAGGAGACTTCGGATAAAACTTCTTGTCTCGAACATGCCCGAGTAATTCCTATACACAAACGTAAATGTCTAACATATATCACAGTCTTAGTCTCCGGTTTACATTGCATCTCAGAAATGTGTTAATAATCGTTCGACAAAACTAAAAATTAGCAATGCTCCACTGCCACAATCAGGGATTTTATGATGACTTCAAGTAATGACTGATGTCACGATGTAAGGAAGTTTTCCTCTGAGATCCGCCACCTGTCTTCAGGCACGGGGTTCTCCCAGCATGCACTGTCTACAGGTACCGGTCCGCTAAGATCCGCCTCCTGTCTTCAGGCACGGGGTTCTCCCAGCATGCACTGTCTACAGGTTCCGGTCCGCTAAGATCCGCCTCCTGTCTTCAGGCACGGGGTTCTCCCAGCATGCGCTGTCTACAGGTTCCGGTCCTCTAAGATCCGCCTCCTGTCTTCAGGCACGGGGTTCTGCCAGCATGCACTGTCTACAGGTTCCGGTCCTCTAAGATCCGCCTCCTGTCTTCAGGCACGGGGTTCTCCCAGCATGCACTGTCTACAGGTTCCGGTCCTCTAAGATCCGCCTCCTGTCTTCAGGCACGGGGTTCTCCCAGCATGCACTGTCTACAGGTTCCGGTCCTCTAAGATCCGCCTCCTGTCTTCAGGCACGGGGTTCTCCCAGCATGCACTGTCTACAGGTTCCGGTCCTCTAAGATCCGCCTCCTGTCTTCAGGCACGGGGTTCTCCCAGCATGCACTGTCTACAGGTTCCGGTCCTCTAAGATCCGCCTCCTGTCTTCAGGCACGGGGTTCTCCCAGCATGCACTGTCTACAGGTTCCGGTCCTCTAAGATACGCCTCCTGTCTTCAGGCACGGGGTTCTCCAGCATGCACTGTCTACAGGTCCGGCCCTCTAAAATTCGCCTCCTGTCTTCAGGCACGGGGTTCTCCCAGCATGCGCTGTCTACAGGTTCCGGTCCTCTAAGATCCGCCTCCTGTCTTCAGGCACGGGGTTCTTCAAGAGGTCGATGGTGATGACAATGATGAAACTTACGACGAGGAACGCTAGACAGGCTATGGCGGCGATATCCTTAATTGCCAGGTTACTGAATACTGAAAGATGAAAAAAATTCATTTTAATCACATCCTTAAAAATTATTACCTATTCTCGCTCTCGCTCTCTCTATCTGTATGTCTGTCAGTCGGTATTTATAAATAACCAACAGCTTGAGTAATGGACAGACCTTTGAGAGACTCTTCCTTACAGAAGGTGTTAATAGCACATATTTGTAGAGAAAACTACAAGGCGTACACAGTCTATGAGAACAGTCATATACAAATAAATACACGTCTGTTCTTTTGCCAAGCTAGTCTGTTATGTGGAGAAAGTCACTGCGCTTCGGGATTGTAACTTAACCAAAACATCCATGTTTCATAAATATCACAAAAAACTGTGTTTTTCACGATCCCCTGCTGCCCAATTTCCCAATTGACATGTACCTGATGCTTTCTCACATATCACTTGATGCACTGCGGAACAGTCCGCTGTATTCCACGTAGCTGAAGATGCAGTTATTGAACCAATCACAATGCACGATGCATTCATCCCTTGTCCAATGAATGAGGATTTTAGAGAATTGCATCCGGTACAGTCTGAAACGTTCTGTTGTCTTGTCGTTACATACGCGTCCCCGTCGCCTCTCATCAGCAGGTAGCGCGACCACACCGTCCTCATATCACTGCTGGATGTGAACAACGACTTGACGAAATAAGCTACTTCAGTGTTTTTGATTGAAGCAATGTTTGCGCCACTTTCTGCGCATGACGCTTCTGCATCAGGGAGAGAAACTGCCGTAGCTTGGAACAGATAGCACATGTTGTTCTTCTCAACCCAGTTAACAGACGGGCAAACACCTGGAATAATAATAATAATAATAACAACAACAACAACAAAACACTACTACTACTACTACTACTACTACTACTACTACTACTACTACAACCTGTAAGTAGTTATGCGCCATTCCAGGGCAAGGGTTGCTCAAGGTACTACCGTGTGGACAAAAAGCATATACTTGATACATGAACATACACATGAGGGGAGACTGGACAACAACAGGTGTTGTGGGGAGTAATACAAAGAAGATACATATGTTGTAAGTCTGGGTTTGAATGTGTCCACATTGCCAGCGCCTGTAGGCTGCATGGAACACCCTTCCAAAGACACAAGCTGTATTGAGGAATGATCGTAGACCAACGTACTTCAGTTTATAAGCTGCTGCAGTCAAGCGATATTGATGTTTGGAGCGTAATGTTTGCGTATACGGATGGATAAATTCAAACACATGAGAGGGTGTCAATGCAGGAAGAGATTTATAGACCCGCGAAGATTCGGCATAGAATAAGTCTTCATCAACCAATGTTTGCCGTAAAAGGCGACTAGCGGGATCGGGTGGTCAGGCTCGCTGACTTGTCTGATGCATGTCATCGTATCCCAGTTGCGTGGAACGAAGCGCATTATGCCAATCAACGACAAGAAATAGTAATACATGACCACGAACTATCCACCCAATACACCCTGGCAGACATCAGACAACATCTTCCCTATACGTCTTGACTGATATCAAACACTATCTTCCCGATACGTCCTGACTGATATCAAACACTATCTTCCCTATACGTCTTGACTGACATCAAACACTATCTTCTCTATACGCTCTGACTGACATCAAACACTATTTTCCCTATACGATCTGACAGACATCAAACACTATTTTCCCTATACGCCCTGACTGGCATCAGACACTATCTTCTCTGTACGCTATGACTGACATTAAACACTATCTTCCCCATACGCCCTGACTGGCATCTGACAATATCTTCTCTATACGCCCTGACTGACATTGAAAACTCTATCTTCCCCATACGCCCTGACTGGCATCAGACACTATCTTCTCAATACGCCCTGACTGACATTAAACACTATCTTCCCCATACGCCCTGACTGACATTAAACACTATCTTCCCCATACGCCCTGACTGACATCAGACACTATCTTCTCTATACGCCCTGACTGGCATCAGACACTATCTTCCCCGTACGCCCTGACTGACATTAAACACTATCTTCCCCATACGCCCTGACTGACATTAAACACTATCTTCTCTACACGCCCTGACTGGCATCAGACACTATCTTCTCCATACGCCCTGACTGACATTGAAAACTCTATCTTCCCCATACGCCCTGACTGGCATCAGACGCTATCTTCTCTATACGCCCTGACTGACATTAAACACTATCTTCCCCATACGCCCTGACTGACATTAAACACTATCTTCCCCATACGCCCTGACTGACATCAGACACTATCTTCTCTATACGACCTGACTGGCATCAGACACTATCTTCCCCATACGCCCTGACTGACATTAAACACTATCTTCCCCATACGCCCTGACTGACATTAAACACTATCTTCTCTATACGCCCTGACTGACATCAGACACTATCTTCTCTATACGCTCTGACTGACATTAGAACACTATCTTCCCCATACGCCCTGACTGGCATCAGACAATATCTTCTCTGTACGCCCTGACTGGCATCAGACACTATCTTCTCTATACGCCCTGACTGGCATCAGACACTATCTTCTCTATACGCCCTGACTGACATTAAACACTATCTTCCCCATACGCCCTGACTGGCATCAGACACTATCTTCTCTGTACGCCCTGACTGACATTAAACACTATCTTCCCCATACGCCCTGACTGGCATCAGACACTATCTTCTCTATACGCCCTGACTGACATCAAACACTATCTTCCCCATACGCCCTGACTGGCATCAGACACTGTCTTCTCTATACCCCCTGACTGACATTAAACACTATCTTCCCCATACGCTCTGACTGGCATCAGACACTATCTTCTCTGTACGCCCTGACTGACATTAAACACTATCTTCCCCATACGCCCTGACTTGCATCAGACACTATCTTCTCTGTACGCCCTGACTGACATTAAACACTATCTTCCCCATACGCCCTGACTGGCATCAGACACTATCTTCTCTATACGCCCTGACTGACATTAAACACTATCTTCCCCATACGCCCTGACTGACATTAAATCTATCTTCCCCATTCGCCCTGACTGACATCAGACACTATCTTCTCTATACGCCCTGACTGGCATCAGACACTATCTTCTCTATACGCCCTGACTGACATTAAACACTATCTTCCCCATACGCCCTGACTGACATTAAACACTATCTTCCCCATTCGCCCTGACTGACATCAGACACTATCTTCTCTATACGCCCTGACTGGCATCAGACACTATCTTCTCTGTACGCCCTGACTGACATCAAATGGAATAAGTATTGTGCCTTCCGGGGCATCATACAGAAATCCTTACCTGGCTATTTTGTTTTGTTTGTGTTTGTTGTTTTACGCCACACGCAGTTCTATTCCAGCTGTATGTTCGAGTTTGGATCTGATATCAGTGATTGATATTATGAGCAACGAGCCATGCCTTCGGGTGCGATGACACACACTGACCACCCGATCCACTTGCTCGTCAGCTTAGGTTGCTGGGGATCAATTCTAACCCGGAATACCCACGGGATTATGGTGGACGGAGGGTTGTTTTATATCCTTGTTCATGCAATATGTAAATAATGACAATAATGGATTAATCGTTATCTCAGTCGTATGCGCGAATTTCCTCCTCTGATATGTTGTGTTTCGGTGACTGTTTTCTGCCAAGTAACGTTTTAAAACGTTTGTAATTTGTTGGTCAAATTTAATTTTCAAGTGTGTACTTTCTTTTATGTAAATCTTACGACCGTATTTGAATCTACATCCTTAGAGACCGCCTCCGTGGTCTAGTTGTAGAGCGTCCGCCCGGAGACCGGTTCGATCCCCGGCCGCGTCATACCAAAAGACGTTAAAAGAAGGTTCTTGTTGTTACCCTGTCTGGCGCTCGGCATAAAGGGCTAAAACAAGGACTGTTCGGCTCGGAGTCAGTATGCAGTGTCTGAGTGGGGTATTCATGTTAAACTGCGGCATTTGATTTCAGTGGCCTAGCACTATAAATCGGCATCACTCCGGACTAGTACAAGCAGCCACACACACACACACACGCACGCACGCACGCACACACGCACACACACACACACACACGTGCATGCATGCACGTCGCTACGCGACGGTAAACCCCATTTCACCTCACGCTTAGAGTACCTCAGGGCTAAATGACATACTTTAGGAATAGTGTTTAGTATTACCTAAACACTGATTGATATTAATTACGTGTAATAACATTAAAATGTTCCCAAAGCCATAGATCCCTACATCGTAACTCCGTGATAAGAAAAACATATAGAAAATATCAAAATGGTAATGAAATGACTGATTCTATCTGTATGTCTATGTAGTGTGCATCGATTCATTGTTAAATTGGTATCTCTGTTTGTGTCTGGAGTCGCGTGACTAATCCAAACATTTGGTATTTTTTACTAAATTAACTCACATAAACATACAAGTTTAACGTTTGAAAGCTGAAAAAATAAACACAACATTATTTCTTTAAAACATCCGTATTCGGTATTCCATGTTGCTGATGTTTCGGTTTATACCGCCGACAATTCATGAGTTTAGTCCCTTGACAAATACACTGTACATGACGACGGAGAAAAAGCAGAAATGCTTTATACAGCACTTAACAATACATGTATCCGACTTACTTCATTGTTATTCAGACAATAATGACCGCGTAAATCGGATATAAATCAACAATTTATTTATTGTTGGACACCAATTAATATAAAATATTTTTTTAGGTCATACAAGTTCGGGTTTTCCTCATCGTGTGGGTTATCTAAAGGGGTCCGCGTGAACGTGATATGCTTTTCAGGGCGATACATATATTTAGGTTATATCCGCTCTAAAATCCGGCTTTGGAATTAATTGTTTGATTGCCAGGGTAGTAGCAGAAGAAACACCGCCCTTTCTAATATATGCTGTCCTGGGCTCTGTTCCATAAAGCGATCGTAGCGCTAAAATGATCGTAACTCCCATACTTTAACATAGACTTACGACAGTCGAAACATCACGGTCGCTTTGTGGAACGGGGACCACGTGACGTTGTAGAAACAACCTATAGCTTAGCGCTACAACTGTCGTAAGTCTGTGTTAATGTATGGGCGTTAAGATCACCTTAGCGCTAACATCGCTTTGTGCAACGGCACCCTGGTTGTTAACGAATTAGAATAATGCGTTCTGGGAAAACAAATACAAAAATAGTTACCTGGCTATTTTGTTATGTTTGTATTTGTTGTTTAACGTCGCATTAAGAACTATTCTAGTTGTACGTTCGAGTTTGGGCCAGATTTCAGTGATTGATATCATGAGCACCGAGCCACACCATCGGATGCGATGACATGCACTGGCCACCCGATCCACTTGCTCGTCCCCTACGACCAGCTTAGGTTGATGGGGATCAATTCTAACCCAGGATCCCCACGGGACGGAGGGTAGTTTATAAACCTTGAAACATTTCATGATACAGCATGTCGTCTGACAAATCCGATCTGAGACGTCCCCCAGTCACACATTCCAGCAATATATTCTACTTTGATGTTGTTTTAAATCCTTGTTCATGCAATATATAAATAAAGAGCATTTATGGATTAATTGTTATCTCAGAAGCATGCGCGAATTTCCTCCTCTGATATAGACATACGTCAAAGACTTCCCTTGCGTGTTGTGTGGTTGTCACGATATTAGCATGCCTGCATATAGACTGTTATCATGGACCGCATGATACCAGGTGCTTGCAAAGCAGCTATATACATATTTGATATTTGATAAATACATGAAACACAATTTCGAACATTCATA